ATCGTGCACTTTTGCCATATCCACGACGAGTGGATAAATCCTCAATTAGAAGGAAGTTATCGAGGTTCCTGTTTTTTCTCTGTTTCATTTCATAATGTAGAGCATTAGTATTGTTGAGGCCTTGCAGTGGCCGGGACCCTGAGGCTGAGGGGCGACAGACAGATGGCAGCACAGTTGTAAAGCCGGGGGGGTAAAGATGGAAGGTTAGCTGGCCTAGCAGCGGGTGAGGAGGTGTTCTGTTCAAGGGCACATCGGGAGTGACTTGAGAGGAGCCGGGAGGCTGGGGTCCACTTAGATCTGTGAAAGTGGTAGAAGTCAAAGAGGGGTTGGTGTTATTTTTATTCTGTGATGTGACCAGTGAAGCAAACACAAAGTTCAGTGCAGGTCCAAAGAGGTTTGGTTGTTTCCAGTAGATTAGTGGTCTTCTGATGCTGCACACTAGCTTTTTCCAGCTAGGTGATATGATGACATGCTCTCTCCCAGAATGCTATAAAGTTCTACCTGTTTTTACAGTCTAAATTTAGATCGTCGGCGTGCCGACATTTGCTAATTAGCATGACACACAGAGTCCACCATTGGCTGTTGGCAAAGTCATTAGTTTTTCTGTAACAACCGAAAATAAGGGGATGGTGCTTCAGGAAATACAAAGAAATCATTTAAGCTTTAGCATTTTTGGCTCCAACCCCTTACAGTGCTAATCTGTGATCTGATGATCATGTCTAAAATTATGGGCCAAAAAAAGGCCACATCAAAGTAATGGCAGAAATTTTTGGGGTGTGGTTATGTTTTTTTCATCAGTTTAAAATGGCAGCAGGTTCTACATCTTTGTGGTCCTTTTGTGACATATAATGTTGAGATTAAGGCATTAAATACGCTTTTACCGCTTCAGCTGAGTGTGCCATCTGGCCTGTTTATTGGCTGACACTCTGCTTGAGAGCTAATGTGTGATCTGTGAGTTAATTGTTTATTGGTGTGTTTTTGGTGTGGATCAAGTGCCTCCATGCTAACTGATTTTTTGTGGGTGGTGTGTTTAGTTTGTTGCTTTTCCGACATGTTAACATGTTAACATTTCATTACTTACGTGGGAGATGCAAAAAATATATTTGACTGACGCAATCAAAACTGAACTTTGCAGTCATTTAAATGATTAAAAAAACGTATTCTGTGGGAGACATGATATCCTTAATATTTGCTGGATTTTATTTCTACTTCCAGACCTCTTAGTTGTGATTTTAACATCTGGATAAGAAATACGATGTAGAAATGCAATCAAATAATGTAAGATCTACTGAAAACATGATTTTTTTTTCAAATAATTCTTTCATCAGGAAGGAAGGGAGGAGAACTCATGGCCGAGACTCCAGATGAGTGCTTTGATGTGAGCAAGCAGCTCAGGTTGTGGCAGAACACATGCATGATTCATCATTTTTGTGTCCAGAGCTTAAAAAGAGAAGTCAGATGTCTCTGTGACTCCCTAAATGCTCCAAATGTAACTTGTCTTACTTTTGCTGATCAGGGATTCTTGATGCTGACTTTGCTTACACAAACAGATTCCCCTATATACTCTGGCATGCTGTCAAAAAATAAAGTGTTGACACTACCATATGGTGGCTGAATGCTTGCGATATGAACAAAATCAGTCTCTGCACATGCTTGTATCTTTGCTGGTACCATTGTCCATTTTTATTCCAATTAAGGATGAATTGATGATTCCGCTTTTTATTTTAAGGTCGACCTTTTAACGCCGTCAATAAATGAAATAATAAAGCTCCACAAACGCAAGCATCAGCTGACTCAGTTTGCCTCAAACAACCTTGGTGCTGAAACTGTGCTGCTAATGTTACCCCGCTACTCAGGCCTACTCCCTGTCACCGAATCTGAAGATGGCACAGATTTTTAGAGTTGCTGTCTTTGTTCAAACACAGCTCTGAAAACAAAACAAAAAAAAAAACAGTGCAGAGCAACGGTGAATCAAATGTTTCTTTCTGTATTCATTCGATTTGTGAACTGCCAACAGTTTCACAGTGGGGGGGGGGGGTTTTGTGGGTTCAATCTCCGTTTGTGAACTTGGGATGGGGGATGTGCTCGGCGTTTTTATGTGGAGGGAGATCTTATGGCCTGAATGTGCTGACGAGCCTGTTAGGTGAGGTGTGGCTGCTGGTGCCACACATTACGTGCTCACTTTTAGTTTCCTTTGCCAAGTCTCGCCGTCAGATTCCTCACCTTCTTTTGCTCTTTAATCATTTCTTATTTTGAATTGCTCTAATGCAATGATGAGATAATCATTTGCTGAATCCCCTTGAATCTTCCAGCATTCCTTATGTCTTTTATTCTATGTTTTGTATGGTGAATCAAATCTTTTTTAATGTCTGAACCCGTGACACCACCCCCTGGTTATAAACATAATTTCTTGGATAGAGGAGTACAGCAAACTGACTATTGGTCCATGTTTGATCATGACACATGGTTCAATTAATCCTATTTGCATTAGCATATTATTAGACTCGCTCATCATAAGCACATGTAGTCCATTCATGCTTATCTGACACACATTTTGATATCCATCCAGCAGATTAAGGACAAGTCCTTGTTCATTTTTTCACCTGACTGCTTTACTCTATACAGATTATTGTCATTTTCTCTGAATAACCACCCCTTTAATTAAAAAATGAAGTTACTTGATATGCATTATAAATAGCTATGCAGTGATTGGACGAGGCCAGATTCTCCAGCTAGCTCTTCCGTATAGCAACAGCCCCCTCCCATCTCTTCTTCTCGCCTCTTCTCCCTGGAATCCCCCTCTTCTCCTCCTCCCTCCCCATCTCCTTTCCTCTTTCAAAAATGCAGACGGACCTCCATGTGGCTTCACCACTTTCCCACAATGCACCAGGTGCTGCCACCGGTTTTAGATAGCTGTATGGGTAGTGGGGGGGGGCTTCTTACCCCCTCCCCTCTCCTCCAAACTCTAGCCAGACTTGCTCCGCCCCCTCAGCTCCCCCTTCTGCAACAGCATCTGGATGTGGTCGCCATGGCAACAACGAGGGGTCTGACCCCACCCACTCTCCCTTTCCTCCTCTCTCGACACAGTCTCTCTCCCTCTTACATAGACACGACGCCGCCGCCCCTCCCACACCCCCTCTCCTTCTCTTCTCTCCCTTTTCTCTGTGTGCGACTGGCCACGCTTCCTTCAAGCTTGACCTGGATTATGTGTGAGCCACCACGTCTGTGTGATGTGGACACAGAGAGACATGAGTGGATGTGGTCAACTGACCCGCTTCCAGAGACTGGATGGGGGTCAAACGCAAAACTTGAAACGACCTCCTTTCCCTCTGATCTCCTCCCCTTTACTTATCCCTCTGACTTCTCACCACGATTGCTTTTTCATTAGAGTCTTCTTCTTATTTCTTCTATCCTTTCTTTTCCCCCTCTCTTCTTTTATTCCTTTCATGATTCCACACTGTGCTCCCCGATATTTTTATTCCCTGCATTCCTCCCTCCAATCACTGCTTTCCACAGCCTACCCGTGTACCTCAGGAAAAAGGCAAGTGCTTCAAAAGCATGAGAGTCGGCTGTGTCCTCCCTCCTCCAACACTGTACTCCACTTCACAGCCTGAGCCAATCACCAAACCCTCCCTTTCCTTCTTATCCTCCTCCATCACAAATCCTTGCCTCCTTCTTCGGATGATTGTTTAAGCAAAGATCGCAGCATCGTGAGGGCAGATATGTCATCGTTTCTTTTTTCGTCACGTTGATCTATGTAGCTCCTAAACATGGCGTTTATTGTTCATTTCCGCTTTTCTCTGCCTTCTTAGAAGCTGGCAGCCCGGCAGCAATGTACGCACATGAATCTGTAGACCCACACTTTGCCTGATATGAGTCATAGCCATCATTCATTCAAATATATGCTTCTTCTATACAAAGGGGAGGGTGCAGGGGCAATCGAATGGGAGATGAGCACTGCTCATCTATTAGGAAAGACAAATTCATAAGTCTTGATTCTCCTCCATATGGTTGTTTTATGCTTTTTCTCAAAAATATATTTTGTTTTTAGAAAATAAACTGTATTTACTTAATCTGTCATTTTCCCCACTAATTTCAAATTCTTTCATTTGTGATGTTACAGTTTGTGTGATTATTGCCTCCTGAGTGCTTTTAAGCACTTGTGTAGTTTTATTTCAAATTGTGAGTGCCCAGGATGATAAGATCAGTAGGGATTTTACAGAAAGCTAATGGGATTCCAAAAATAGACTGGAAAATAGTTGTCTGCATGCAGAAAACAACACTCACAAAAGAGCATGAGGTTCAACCAGCCACAGTCAAAACAGCATGAGCACACAGGAGCACACCTGAGTACTGGTCTTTTTTTTTTTTAAGTTGGAAAAACAAAAAGTCAAAAGCCAGCATTGTGGGAAACACTGAACGCGCATTTCAAATGTATTTTCATGTGAGCTATAACTAATGTTATATTCATGTAGTTGTTCCTGTTTTATCAGGCAGCAAAAAAGAAAAGGATGCTGTTTCTGGCAAAGCAGGGATGCTTGCACACCTGTTGTTTAACAGCCTGTGTCCACAGTGCTCTGCTTTTGAATATTCATGTCTCACAACTTGGAGTGTGACAGATATTTACTTTGATACATGATGTACGGCTCGGAGGGGAGGGAAAATAACAGCCGTAAGAGAGTCTGCCATGATCAAATTAGTCCCTCTAATTCAATCTGTTCACAGCATTTGGACTCCATCATGGTTTATTCAGTAAGGTGAGCATACTAATTGGGTCCCTGTTCCTCTCCCCCACTTTTTTCTTTTCTCTTTACACCTTCCTTTACATATCGGTGGATCCCCCCCCCCTCAACCCTATCCACCAACCTCCACACTACTCTTTGCCTGCTCCCCCCTGCTTTTCATCGTGTTCACTCCCTCTGCCCTTCCCCGTGTCATCTTCATGTAAAACCTTGTCGGCTCTCGTCTGGGCGTCCTCTTCATCTACTCTGTCACTGCAGTAGAGCTGGTGGACCAGCAGAGGGTGCTCAGAACAGGCTGCCTGGTGACGGGCGTTCACACTCCACCCATCCGACGCAACAGCAAGCTGGCCACCCTGGGGCGGATCTTCAAGCCCTGGAAGTGGAGGAAAAAGAAAAACGAGAAGCTCAAGCAGAGTTCCACAGGTAGGATGGGGCATGTTATGAGCACTTATTTCTGCAGAGAGAGATGCAAGAGAAGAGTTTTATTAATATGTTTCCATCTTTCATCACAAACATGCCTGATGTAGTGTACATTTTTAATTAAAAACTTTCAAATGAATAACTGCACAGCTTGTATTGATAATAGTTTGAGAATAATTTCAAGGGCTAAACATGACTCTTTTAATATTTTTTCTTAGAATCGAAAACAACAGTTTTTGCGGCTCGGGTAAACAAGCCAAGTAGAATCATTAAAACATTTTTGTTGTTTTCTCAGTGTTACATTTAAACAAACAACAGAGGGAATTTTAAAAAAGAAGTACATTTTCTTTTTTTTTTTTAAAGACACAAAATGAAATGTGATGTGATGAAGAGTTCTTGAAATGCATTCCCAAAAGTGATGATTGCCACTGAGGACCTCCTACACACTGACATATAAAAGCCCAAAGTCCAGGCTCCTCCAGACAGAGCTGTAAAGGAAAGCCCAAAAAATGTGCAACTTTATGAAATAGAACAATTTGTTTAGAACCTCATGATAAAATGAGGTTGTTGATGAATACCTGACACATGGTCACCTTGTATGTCTGCTTTTCATGCCGGCATTGAGTTGCTGAACACTGAACTAATCGTGATGTTCTTGCTGTAATGGAGACAGCTAGCGAATAAAGGTGACTTTAACAGTGAATGTCATGTTGAGCAATCTGTTAGTGACATCATTGTTCATTTAAAGGCTTCGAGCTGATTGGCTTAATGGCTGATTCAGAGAAACTGGGTGTAGCTTTGTATCACACCAGCTGAAATATGACTTTTTCCACTGGATGGTTTCTATCTGATCCACGTTTAAACCATACTGTCTCCATTCACAGATGTAGCATTGTCCAGCGGGCTTCTGTGCCACGACCCCGGCTCTCCCACCCAGGGCTGCTGCTCCGATGGCGCAGTCTTGCTCGGAGGATTTGGGGGCTCTTTAAATCAAAACCTCACAGTCAGCAGTGTGGAATATCTGGGTCCCGAGGAGGAGCTTACCCCACCAGGTAGGACACTCGCTCGATTACAGTCATTAGAACAAGCGTACGTCATAGAGCTGCAGCGGCTACAAATGAGGGGGGCATAGTTTGAGTTGCTTGAACTGCTCATGATAGTCATTTGTTTCAGTTAAGGTTAAAAATAAAACCTGATGAATTAAGGTTTGGTCGAGTAGTTAACATTTTGTGAAGGTTTCCTCAGATGAACATGTTTGATTCGCACCTTTAGAGGGCAGCAAAGACAACAGAATGTCCCTCTCCTCACTTATCTGGCCTCAGAGGCCTACAGTGTGTGCACTTTAACAGGATATGCAAGAAATACACAACACGGGTGTGAGAGTCCCCTGTCATCTTTAGCATCCAGTGCATGGCATGTTTGTTCAAAATACTTTCTAAAAGCTTACCTGATTAGATTTCAAATTAACACTCACCCAGGTTTTTCATTTTCACTGGGATTGTCCAATCTTTTTTCTCAGAATGAACTTTGTCGGATGTGTTTTAGTTGGTCATATTAGTTAGAACATTATAGACAGATCCATTATATTTGCGGTCCCGCTTTTAAAGTTTTTTTACTTACATTTGAGATGTTTTCTTTGTTGTTCCCCAGTAGCTGCACCTCTCCAGGATTCTGAACCAGTGGAAGAGAATGGCCCTCCACCGGAGGAGGGGGGGGACGAGGAGGCGCACCCGGCTGGGGATGTACCCGAGGGGCTGCAGGACACGGGGGAACTGATGGAAGAAAGATCTGAGGAGGAGATTCCTCCAGGGACCTCCCCGCCACAAGTACCTCCAAAACTGTTGCCCCAGTTGAGTGCTGGAGATGGTGAGTGCTGGGTGCCATTTAGTTTAACATATACAACTATATGCAAACCTCATAACGGCTAATTGCAACCTCCATGTGGTGTTAACACGGCCTGATCTTTCTAAAATGCACAAAAAAAATTGAGAACTAAGAGAATATATATTCATCGGATGCACAAACGAAGTGGACGTGTTTACCGTCTTTCCACAGATTCAGGACCCGTGTCGCTCCCTGCTCATCTGCCCAACTCCTACCTCCCCAAGGAGCCTCCACCCAGGGCCACAGAGAGCCTGGCCTCGATGACGCTCCCGCTAAGAGGGCCTCTGAGCAACCCGTCAGGGTCCCCTCATCTAGCCAACATCATGCACCCTCCCATGCCCCCCAGCTGTATCATGGAGGAACTGCAGAGAGCCTTCGCTTCCAAAAACAGGCAGGAAAGGTGAGTCCCCACGCTTTTGTTTGTTAATGTTGCCTCTAATGGGAATGCTGGGATGCCAAAGGGCTCTGTTTGTAGCAGAGCCTTGTACATTAGATTACATTAAGCATCAACATGTTCCTGTTGGTTGTAGATCTGAGGGTCCTCAGCCTGCCCTCTGTCCACCGCACTGCTCCAATATTCTGCATCTGATCATTTTCTGCTCTCACTTCCTTACCTCCCTCTCCTTTTAAATGTGGAAGACAGAGAAGTGCAAATGACACAAAAACTATAACTATAGTTAGAGATCTGTTTTGGTTGAAAACTGTCGACTAAAAAAAAAAGCTGTCATCCCCTCGGTACTTGGGAGTTCATCATGAAATACCCTGTACAGGCACAAAACTTTACAATTACAAAGCTAAACCAAAGGAAAATCATTTTACAATATCAAATCTACAGTATCAAGTTATGAAGTTATCTGCATTAACTTCCCAGATTGTGAAACAGGACATCTTCCCAAATTTTCCCGACCACAAAGAAATGAGTCCACCACTTGTCCTCCGCTGTGTGTGTCCTCAGTGTCCACAACGGGTGTGAGCAGGGCTCCCCCCAACGACTGTGGTGTTCCGACGGCCGACTCTCGCGCTCCTGCAGCTCCGAGAACCAACACACACCGTCCTCGGGGGGCGTCTGTGGGGTAGTTGGGGGATCCGACTGGCCCAAGAAGGAAGCGGAGGAGAACAAAGAGAACGTACGGCTGGACCAGTGCTTCTCGAACACCTCAGGCCTCCCGTTTGACCTGGACGGCTGGAACGAGTCGGTCATTTCCGGTGCGTGGCCAAACTTTAAAGAGTCATTTAAGATGCAAACTGTTATCACTGAGAAATTTGACCATCTCCATGTTGTTTAGACTGACTTTGACACTGGCGACAATGGGAGGGAATAGGTTTTTGTTTTGTTCCATGGGTTTATGGGATGCCTTTTTCTAGTGTTAAATAGCAAGTTGAAGACAGTGTTTTTTTTCTGATGCGTGTGGATGCAGGCACACTTCCTCGCAGGCTAAGGAAGGAGTTACTAGCCGTTAAACTACGAAACCGGCCCAGCAAGCAGGAACTGGAGGACAGAAACATCTTCCCAGCACGGAGTGACCAGGAGCGACAGGAGATTCGCCAGCAGATCGAGATGAAACTTGCCAAGTAAGGAAAGGAGCAGAATTTTTCTAGATTCCTCTGTACGTCACAGCGGTGTTATCGCTAAACCAGGTCAGATCATGTGTAGTTAGTGGTGCTGCAAGAAAATCGCACAAAAGATTCGACTCATTTTTTTCCCCGCTTGGTGAATTTATGGTGGATGCATAATTACTCGCGTTACATAACATACAAGAGGAGGAGGTGAGAGTTTAAAAAAAGAAGCTTTAACAGGATTAGCTGATTGTTTTACTCAGTGTTGATTCATCTTGTGCAATCTGCTGCTGCTTAGAGGAGCCCGCTGGGACATATAATGTCTTATTACTCCAGGCAGGCCCTCATTCTGAGAGGCCGCTTTGTAATATTCCATCCCTGCATTGAACCATTGAAACTAAATCAAAGAATATGCCCTGCGGAAATAGTCTGTGATCATCTCTTTCATTCTTTGGAGTGCAGTCCTTCTAGAAAAAGTTTTTGTGAAAGAGACACGGTGGGTTATTGTGTGCAGCCGTCACGACACACTAATAGGGTTCATGTTTTTCTGGTTCACGATTCATTGTTACAGGCTTGGAGGTAGTCGTCTTTTTTTTTGTGAATGTGCCACAAGACTCGGGCTCTTTAAGACCAGCGTATCAAACTCAGGGCGCACCACGGCGTTACATAACCCGCCATGAAATAATTCACAGCCAAGCGCAAAGTGCCACCCACACTTACCAGAGATGATAATCCGTCGTCTGTCTGGAAGACGACTATTAATACAGCCTCTCCCTCTATTCTTATTCTCGGGCGCGCGGCGGGGGAAGATAGTCACATCACTTGAACGAGAGGTATTCGCAGGTTTGCAAGAAAACAGCAGGGCCAGGGCAAGCAGCGTGAGTGCAGCTTGCATAAGCACCAGCTGGGTCAGTGTTATAAAGCTGTCAGGTTCCGCCGCAGCAGAGCACTAAAAGAGGCCGCTGCTTATGTAAAGACCCACTTCCACAAAACATCCATTCAGCTGATGCTCTCTTTTTAATCTACGGCCGTGTAACGTTATTATCCGTGCAAAATGAATGATTCGGGAAGGGTATTTTTGAGAAGGCTTCTATTATGCATATCGCCTCGCAACAAACCTGTGGAAGGAAATGCTTCCTGGTCGTAGCTAATAAAGGACAAGTGGAGCAAAAGTGAGGAAAAAAATGCCCCGCATTGATCGGTCTTCTTTCTCCATCTTGACCTACACTGACTGTAAGATTGTTGCAGATCAAGCAGAAATGGGGACTCGTGATGGATAATGACACGCCGTCTCTCCACTGTGTCAGTGATAGATGACCTTTCTATGTTTAGAGGCTCCAGACCTGGCACAGTGCTCCGGCCTCGCTCCGCTATTTCTAATCTTAGCTCCTGACACTGTTCAATAATGCATCGCTGCGTGCGCCCCCACCCTCAGACAAATGTCGGGGAGCCAGATCAGTAGAAATGATGGCATGGCAGAGGAAGCCGTGCTACTGTATTTGAAAAGAGGATTCAGCTTTGTGTGGTAAATGCCTTCCCCTGAGTGCGCTGGCAGCTTAAATAAAGCCAGTAACCGCCCGTTCATTTATGTGCTCGTCATTCTTTTGTTTGGAGATTTCATCCCTCCTCTGGCTGGTATACATGTGTTTTTTTTTTGTCATCACTGTTCCCACTCACTGGATCACAGGATATCCCTAGTTTTAACATGGAGATACTTCCTGGTAATGCTTGTTTCCTGTGCATCATCATGGTATTCTGGTAATAAAAAAGATTCTGTGTTGAAAGCGGTGGGTGAAAACGACTGTGGTGAGTCAGGGTAGAGCAGGCAGGGGGATTCTCAGTCCCCCCCAAATGCATCATTTCTGTAACCCGACGGCATCTCTTTCATTTCTAGCCTTAGCTGAACACGGCTGACGTTTCTGCTGAGATGATATCTTACTCGGAGGCTAAGAAAAGACAGCAGTTTGTTTCTAAAAATAGCCACAGGTTCCCCCATAAAAAGCACACACAATGCGGCGTGTAGTAGTGAAATCCCCCTCTCCGTGTTACTAGGGAGAAGTGAGCCGTTCCGCAGGGAGGCATCCTCTTCCAGATACCGTGTTGTTGCTAAGCAACTCTCCGACCCGGTCAATACTACAGTAGAATGCTGAAATGTGCTGGGGCTTTGGTGGTGATTTTCCATTTAGTCTGTTTAAAGCGTAACGCTGTCAGAGCTGTGTAAACACTCTGTTCCCCGGCTTGATAATTGAGTCAAAAGAATCTTTAGATTTGGCCGTTGGCCACATGATGAGATCTGCACAGGAGCCCAAAACACCTGATTGATATGAATCAGGTTTGATCAAAGGGAAGAACTTTGAACACAGACTAAGAGCTAGCAGAAATTTGGACAGTAGTGGGTTTTTTTTTCCTCCTTATAGAAAAAAACAAATAAGATCATTGTGGGATTCCCCGGGATTCCCTGTTGACACTGTTTTAACACTGACACTGTTCTACAAAATACTCTGGCTGCTCGTGTTCCTGCTTACCTCACTCTTCTCAGAGGAGAACTCATCCAGGGACTTGCGCTGTTGAATTATTCTTTGAACTATTTTTGAACGTCTAGTCTTCCGTGTTAATTAACACAGATTCAAAGCTTGTCTGTACTTATTACACAGTATAGTACGAAATGATAAAATTGATGTTGGAGGATTTGCTGAACACTAATAGACAAAACAGATTTCAGGTTAAAATGGAATAGCTTGTGTGCTGTCTGTGCTGCACTGACCCGCACAAAGAGTGTAGAAAGGACCGCTGTGCACTTTGTGCGCGCACAGTGTGTGTTCAGGTCTCAGTGCATGTGACCTAACTTTGATCTTTGATAGATCAGAACTATAAAGTGTCCAAGCGTTTGTGGCAGGGCGGGCGGATAAAGAGAGCCCTGCTGTGTTCAACCCTTTCTGTTCTTTCCACCTCTGGAGGTGTGCTGTGGTGCCTTCTGAAGCCGGGCCCTTTATGCAGCTTACATTTATTATTTACACTATGAACACACACACGAACACACACAGTGATTTAAAAAAAAAAATGGAACCCTTTTGAATGATTTGATGGTAATAGATGCCTCAGAGATGTACTCAAAACTTTGGCAAAGAAGGTTTGCACAAAAGCATTGTGTTGCAGTAAGGCTTAATCTTCTTTTGTATTTAAAAAAAGAAAATCCAATCAGCTGGAGCAATAAAGGGGGAGTAGTAAGGCTGTGCCAGCAGTTGGTGATGATGAGAGGGCTGGGGATGCCTGAAGTGGGAGCCTGAAGCCCCGCCTCTGAGCATTATGCATGCAGTAACCGGGGAGAATCGGGGAGTCGCGCTTCTCCAGCCCATCACGACCCACTAGAAAAGCGCACACAGAAGGGCTGTCCGCGCCTTTCTGCCGTGGCACAGTGGAGTTTTTGCACGGAGAGAGTCTGCACCTTGAAATGCGCACATCGGCGACATCTGGGGATATAATCCGCTAGAGAATTCTCAGAGAGGAGAATCCGCGTTGACCGTTCCAGATGTGGGGGGCGCCTCTGCCGAAGCATCACAGCCGCGGTTTGGATGCGAGATGGAAACATAGGGGATTCCTCTCGAGAACGCGCACGGCCAAAAGACTGCTGCCGGTTTTATAAAGAAAGAAAAAAAAGACGAGAGAAGATAGAAAAAGGACAAAACGTCGGATAGGACTGGACCAAGTTGGGAGAAAAATGGTGCAAAACGTGGTTTTGGTGTTTCTTCGCAGGAGGCTGAGCCAGAGACCGAACGTGGAGGAGCTGGAGAGTCGGAACATTTTGAAACGTGAGTTGAAACTGAGGCAGCGCAACGTTTACTATCAACTGCGCCTCATTTAGAAAACAAACAGAAGGGAGACGGGCGCCCTGGTCATTTGTTGTATCGTTTTTCTTCCTGCGTTGCAGAGAGAAACGACCAGACGGAACAGGAGGAGAGGAGGGAGATCAAACAGCGGCTGAACAGAAAGGTAAAACTCTGCCAGACTCTGTGCGCATTTCCGACCTGTGGCACATCCACACACTACACAGCAGACTCCCCTCACCTGCTGCCAAACCTTTACTTTTTTTCAGCTCAACCAGCGGCCGACGGTGGATGAGCTGCGGGACAGAAAGATTCTGATCCGCTTCAGCGACTACGTGGAGGTGGCCAAAGCTCAGGACTACGACAGAAGAGCAGACAAGCCCTGGACCCGCCTGTCAGCAGCAGACAAGGTGAGAGCTGGGATGGGAGGGCTGTCAGATGCTAACCTTTGTGACCCGGCACAGATCATGTGGATTTAGAACCAAAACAAGTTAATATTTAGGTCAGGGATTACACAGTAAAGAAATAAATAAATAAAATACCCCAATTCTAGGAGATATCAGCATTGCTTGTTGCTTTTAATCAGATAATCTCCCCCCCAAAAAAATAAAATAATCCCTGTTTCTCTTTTTTAAAATGATTCTGGCCTTCCCCTGCTCCCACTTTAATGTCCGCGTTTTGAAAGGGCTCGGTGGGGAAAAAACTGACTGATGGCGTTCGTCCTTTTCCACACAGGCTGCCATCAGAAAAGAGCTGAACGAGTTCAAGAGCACCGAGATGGAGGTGCACGCCTCCAGCAAACACCTAACCAGGTTAGTACTCTGAAGTGTGTGAGGGGGGCGTGGCCGGGGGAAAAGGCTGGCGCTCTATTCTGGGATGCGGCGGTCTAAATATAGCTCTCCTTCTTCATCCAGAAAGGCGCTGGTGAGCTAAAGATAGATGGGAGCGCTTGTAAACTGGGGAGGGGGGAGGTTGCCCTTGGAGAGCTGGCATCAAAAGGGGAGAGAATAATGACGACACGCCACCGCGTCCTTGGCTGAGCTTGCTGGAAAGCAAGTCCTCGTGATTTGTAGTAGTGACCCGAAGGGGGAGGATGAGAGGAGAGAATGCATGCCCAACATGTGATCACCGTGATAAAAATAGCTCCCCAGAAGCGTGCGCGCTCCGTGACAAAACGGCGGGCTCTGCTCTGGTGGTTTTTACCCCCGCCCCCCCCTGTTTACCGTTCGCTTGCCTTTGTCTCCTCAGGTTCCACCGACCATGAAGGCGGGGTTTCTTCTGTGAAGAAATTCTGAGCGTAGAAACTTCCTGAAGCGGCTGGATGCCGCTCAGTGGCGACTGTTCCAAGAGCCTGGAGCCTTTGTGTCTTCAGCGCGTCTCTTAAGTTTCTTCCAGCACCCTCCTATTATCAGTGTGGCGGAGCGGGTGGAGGAGAAAAGACGATGGGGATGTTTGCTCCGGCGCGTCCTGGAGACCGCTGGCAGCAGCCGGGAAGCGGGCGGCTGGAGGAGACTTTGGTGGAGCCTCTGACTCTCAGGACAAGAGTGGGGAGGAGAAAACAATCTTGTTATTCAGTCGTTTTTTTTCTTTTTTCTTTTCTTTTTAAACTAATTCATGGACTCCTTTGAGAGAGCGGCGTGAACCTGTGTAGTGAGAAGAAGCTGTGCATGTGACCAGCTTCACTTTTTCTTAACTGATGGATAATGTGACACTTGGACTGTGTACAGACGTTCCAGTCTGGGGACTTCTTGTCGGGGTGGAATTTGATATTAACTGTACATACGTATGTCAGTTGGATTGGGACATCGATGTCTCCACTAAAAAGAGAAAATACCTTTGTAAGCACTACTTGTCTTCAGAATACAACATGTTTTTAAAAGAATGGCTCCTGTAATTTGTTCCAAACAATTTAATTTCCAAGCAGACTGATAAGTTATTTAAAAACATTGTACAATAAGGATCTCACATTTCACATTGTATCACACTAACCTACATAAATTATTCAGGAAATGTGTATTAAAAATAGCATAAAATCACAAACTCTGACACAAACAATTTTATAAACTGTAAGGTTATCTACCAAATGGTAAAAACACAAAGCAAACATTTCTAACAAAAGCCAAACCGTATGAACAGCATTATCCAGCTCTGAAAAGCGCAAACAATAAGGAAGAATGTGCAGAAACGAACACTGAATCGAAAAACTATGACTTGATATGAACACGACTGAAATACAGAGGACAACGCACACTGCTTGCTAAAATTTAAAACCTGTCAAACTCAACTCCAGGTTCCATCAGGGGAAAAACAGAGCACGCAGGCCTCTTTTCACGCTCTGGATCTCTCCCTCCAGCTGAAAACCGACCGCAAGCAAACAAACATTCAGGAAACACCAGTACATTTTGAAACTCAAAAGAAACGTACACAAATTACACAAGTTTCTGATACTTTTATACGCTGGCTCTTAGGAACAGGCTCATCTTTAAAGGAACCCCGTTTTGCTGACTGACACTAAACATGAAAGCTGAAAAAGGTCGTGTGAACTCATCTCAACTCACCATCTCATTGAGGAGTCTGTCCTGGATTGACTTCATGTCTTTTCTAATCATCCCCATCTGAAAACAGAGAGGATTTTAGGGGTAGTGACAGAAAATGACAGCTAAGCAAAATGTCGAGGAGTCATTATCGCACAGACAGCCTGACAGGCAGTTTTCACAGTCTACTATGAAATAAGCAGATGAATATGTTAAGATTACTTTTAATTAAAGCAATTCACTTTTGTTTTACACAGAAATACATGACAAGTGCATATAGAAGTGAGCCTGAACGCCAGACCTCTGATGTGAATATTCCCTCCTCGTACTCCAAGCTTTGGCAAGCATTGCCCTGCAGGACTCCTTTAAGGTTTTCATTTCTGTGGGGTAAAAGACGGAAAGTTACCTTGTTCTGAGTAGGTAAAGGCTAATATTGACGCAAACTGATAAACACAAACTGCAACACGTGCAATGGAATCCTTGGAATCCCATCACTGTATGTATATAACAATGCCTTGGAATTCAGATATATCCACTAAACCTACAACGATCCCTCCGAACAAGATCGTTTTCATTGTTCGGGTGACCAGTAAGTGAAACAACCAAGCTGAGCAACACAGTAAGATGAGCTGACCACTGACAAGATGTAGGGAGAAGTCATTTTCATTTAGTCAGTGCTGGATGATCGGACAGCCTCCGCAGCCACAGCGCACCCATTAAACACTTCTCCAACCGAGGTGGCAGTGACACAGTCATCAAAGTGCAATCCCTGTAGGCAGGCTGGGCTGACACTAAGGCCGACATATCACCGAATGGGGGCAACTCAAAAGAGCATATCTGGAGCGATATCAAAAGAGGCACTGGTTTTAGTTATTTTAGTCCTTCCCAAGAGAGGGAATAGTTGGCTTGTTGGTCAATTTAGGTACTTTAAACTAGCATTACGGATGGAAAACACCCCAAAAAAATCATCTGGAAATCCACATTAGTTATGAAAAGAAGCACTGGCAAGCCCAAAAAACAGCTTGTGCTGTAGGGCGTGTGTTATTTTAAGACACTAATCCTGAGGAGAAAATTATTTTCCCGTCAAAGCTTTTGATCTCATGTTCCAAACACTAAATAAGTGTCTCATTCAATGTCTTTTTAAAGAATTATGGTTTCAGTCTGTGGGAATGGCACTGATCAGAGAGCATGGAGAAAGAACAACAGGGCTTTTCAGTGCTCATACAAACGCACTCACAGAAATGAATCCAACTAACCTCTTGGCTTCCTGATTCTGGTAAGTACGGAAGGTCATCATTTGCTTTTTCCAGCACATCTGCGACCAAACAAAGATTAGATACCCATCACATACTAAAATATCGAACTTTGAGGAGGCCTCATCTGACTGAATATTGCATGCTGTGGTATAATTTTTTAATGATGTCACTTTGAAAATCCCCTCCACAGTGTGTGTGTTTGCGTGTGTAGCACAAAGAAGGCGGAGTGACGCACAGTCAGGTCCTTCTCCATGCTTTTGAGGATGCTGTCATCATTTTCCATTTTGCTGATTTCCTCCAACAGGACTTTTTGGACCTGTTCAAGCCTCTGCATTCTGTGGACAGCAAAGAAAAAAAACAATAGAAGAAATCTGGAGAGAAAAGCTCACAAAACACTGTGAGAGGTGAAAACACTTGGGAAGTCACATATTTTGTATGGTGCTGTTAAAAAATGGTTTGAGAAAGAGGCCAGCTCTATGAAAAAATACCCTCACTGACCTGCATTTGGTCAGCTGCTTACTGATGGAGGAGACGTGCTGCTGGATAGTCTTTGAAGACTGCTTGTCGTAAATCTCCAATATCGTGCAGCGGTTCTGAACACATTCAATAGACAGAGGAGAGGAGAGTACGTTTGAGTGCCTTTGTAAATTTTCTGTTTTCAGTGTTTCTGTGTCAGAAACATAGAACTGAAACAATGCATGGTGCCAACACTCTTCTTAACCTGTCACTTTAGTAATGTGTGGGTGTCAAACCTGGAGCTTGTTTTTCAGCTCTGAGCTCATCTGCTGACAGATGTTATTTGGGTTTACAGACGATTGTGTCAGCTCTAAATCCTCGTCCACGTCTGCATCCATCCCATCAGACTCCCAGTGACTGGAGCTCACATGTGAGGAGCACACAGCCTGGCTCACCTCATCCACAGTGGAAATCTCTGCAACTGTGGGTCCCAAATACACATCTTTTAATAATTTTTTTTTTTACGTGAGACCACTATACCATAATTTCCCTCTGATCTCCTTTGCACGTCATGATTCTGATCATGGCAATAAGGGCAGATTATCTTTTCAAGTCTAAACCAACATGCTGACCTTAACCTTCGGTAAACCTTTAAAAAAAAAAAAAAAGTAAAAGTATAGTAACACATAAGAAGTTTAGCTGATTCGAGAAACTGGCAGCACCTACATGAGTTTGAATAAAATAACATTGGCGCATTTACAATTATTTGGATGATTAATGCCTTCTTAGTTTACGCATGAGTAGAGGGTCTTACAGGACTTAAACAGCTTCCTTGGTTTCATTCGTGGTGAACGGTGCCCTCGGAGCTTGCTTTTTTTCTTATCTTCCTCTTCCTCAGAGTTGCTGGACAGGGAGTTGTGGCGCTTGCGATGGGGTCCTGTTTAAAAAAAATAAAAGAAAATCCACATCTAAATCCACAACTTTTTGTCTCATAACTTCTAAATTTAGCAGTGATTTAATTGTGGTTCATGATTTAAGTGAGTTTAGGCCCCTTAGGTCAATTTAATTAGGTGTCATTTTATAATGTAAGTTTGTTGGGGGGCAGGATCAAGCTCCTGAGTTACATAATGTCAAAAAGGGAAATATGGGACCAAAGATAATGTGGAATACAACAGTTGTTTTACAAAAGTTGGTTTTACCTGAGATAAGATCGTCTGTGAACTCAAGTTCTCTGTCTGAAATAGGTGTTTTCTGTCAGGAAAGACAGAGATGAATCAGCCATTTTTATCATGCCTATATATCTTGGCAAATCTTAATTAATCTGTAAATCAGCACTCACGCTGATTTAGATATGTATCCATCCAGTCATAAAACATTCATTAGAAAGCAATAAATCAAACCTCTGATTTAAGGGACAGTGCAGCTGTGGAGCTGTCCTTAACTCGCTTAATGCGTACTGATGACTTAGTGGATGAATGGTTCACTGAAACAAAGGATCCTGAAGACACTTTGCTGAACTCAAGATGGCAGCCATGGCTAACAGTGTCTTCAGGGAACGGTGACTGAGGTGGAGAGGTAACATGTCCGTTGTCTAGCTCAAGAAGAGTGGACGTCAGCATGGGCTGAGTGGACGGAGATAAAGGTGACAGAGGGGCTGACGGCAGATGCTGCTGGACTGCGCACGTCTAAAATTGAATAATAAAAGGGAGACAAAAGATTATAAATCTCACACAAAAAGAAAAGTTGAAGCACATTTTATTTTGTCTGTGACGGATTAGTTGTGGTAAATGACCAGCACTGATCCCACAGTGCACAGATGAAGAGTAGCTGAGGTATTATCTGCTCTGACTAAAGTTAAATAGGTCATTTCAGCCATGTGTCTAAACTGTTAGGAACACTAAGAACGCTGGTAGAGGAAGCAAAGTATTAACGTCTTACGTCCTACCCCACTTTTTCCCAGTCTGGGCGTGTCAGCCATTCAGTTTTCAAGCCTCTAATAATTCATCCCACTGTTCATTTTAGCCCCGTTAATCTCACATTTCAGTGTGACTTAAACAAGGAGTAACAATTTCTCAATCACACAATTATGTGATTGTAAAAACAATCCTAGCCTACATTAAACAAAGGGTAGATTCTTCCAAAAATAAAATTAAAAATCAAGATCTCTACATTGTGTATTTAGTCAGATTATGTTTTACTGTTTTTACATCTTACAAAAGTCTACCTGCATTTCTTTTCCTCTCACAAACTAGTTCAAAAGGTATGAATAAGACTTTGATTGAGAGACTTAAAAGTTTAATTTAAAAAAAGTGTCCTGAAGAGTCAGAAATGCCATGTACCTCTGGTCCAGTTTGTTGAGCAGGAGGGCTGGTTGCAGGGGACTGACCTCCCAGTGAACAGGGAGATGGGATGAACTTAGTCTTGGTTGAGCCGTGGCTTTTTTCTGTGCTGTGGAAACAAGATGGCTTACGTTTTCCTTTACTGCTGACTGGAGAGTGAAGTTTGGGTAGCAGCAGGATGGGCGAAGGGGTGTCCTCGCAAGGAGGCCTTGGGGAGGTAGGGAGTGGGGATCCCTGTGGGGTGAGGACAGTGGAGCAGGTCAAAGCCAGGGTTGGGGCTGACCCTCCTGCAGCTGTGAAGGTCCAAAATAAGCACAGATGTTCAAACAGCTGGCTTCAGAAGTTGGAAAAAGAACAGAGGGTCAATATGTACATGCACTTCAACATATCCATTTACAGTTAAAAGTTTGGAAAGCAGAAGGGTTCTTTGTGTCACACCTTTTACATTTATGAGACCTTACTTTTTATCTTCTGAGACTACAGAATAATGTCCAAAAGGTGCAGCAGTTTGGGTGGGAGTTTTGTAAACTTATCCATATCTAGTTAGATTTCAAATCTTTGAATCCTTTTGATTCAAAAGACAACTGTTCTTTTTTTGTCTTTGCACATTTGAGCATCAAGACTTCATTTTACTGCTAAATCTGATAACTTGAAGGTGTTACATCAGGCTCTCAATTAGCCTGAATAATTACTGAAAGCGAGCGCTTTTGATGAAGACCTCTTACCTCTTTAAGTTATTACATACACATGCACGCTTATTGAAAACCAAATGTGATTTTACTGTGCACTTTAATATCTAAAAGCGAGGCAAAACAGATAAATGTCAAGGATTAAACTTGTTTTTTTAAATAAGAGACAAAAGGCCTTTTTCAAGAATGAATGCAGCCACTCGTGGAATTACAAAACCATTTGATCAGGCATGAAACAGAACTATCAGCTGTTGTCAAAGTAGTAACCAAGTCGTGCTGTTGAGTAGCTTTCCACAAAAACATACCTCTCATCTTCTCGATGAAAGGCGGGGATGGACAGAAAGAGGTCTGGTAGGCAGCCAAAGAATTCTTCAAAGCACTCTTCTGTTCTTGGACAGGGATATTTTTCGACCTGGAACTTTCTCTGAGGACATTCCCGGGTCTAAGCTGCTGAAAAAACAGTTGTTTCTATGAGCTACAGTGTGCAACAAAGGAGAACAATACATTCAAAATTAATGAGAACATGTACCATAACAGGTACTTTGAGCATCTCTAAAGTGTACTTGGGATATTTCCGGTGAATTAAATTAACACCGAAGGTCACAGTCAATGGCCTTTTTCAGATAAGCACTAGCTTTTTGGTGCATGTTCTCTCAGTAAACAAAACTCAAAGAAAAAATGGTGCCAATTGGCAATTCTTTACATGGTCTGTTGACCTGTACACAACACTTTAACCTTTTCTATATTTTTTCTTTTAATGGCTTCATTTTAATTTACCCAAAGGGAGAAAAAATATCTTTGTAAAAGGGCTGTATAAATTGATATGACAAAATCTATCTGTCCTAATTAAGAGGCTGAACTCTCACCTCAAGGTGGTTGCTGTTGTCCGGCCTCTTATAGTCATGTGCTGGTTTATCAAAGGGTGCATTTTTTCTCTTTTTCACTGGTGGAACTTCTGAATTGCTCTTCCCCTGCTGACCTACAGAATATGTCTGTGACAAATAAAAAATTAATCTTTTGTTGATGACCCAATTACAGCAACAGTTATACATAACAGACATGATTAGTAAATGGCGATCATACTGTACACATTTCATAACAACATAGATTAAAATGAAATGTAAATGTGCCTTTACAAAATATGGCTTCTTTCTTCGACAGAATTTTTCTTCGAACTATTTTTTTACAGTAGAACTTGTCAAATCATTTACACTTTTATTTATTTCTGTAATGGCGACTCTGTGGCTAATTACACATAAGTTTTTCAGGATGCAGAATAGAGGCTCAGTTAGAATACACTCAACCTTGAAAGCAGGTGGCATGTTGATGACAGACTTGGTTTGTTGATTCAAATCCACGTTGGATGGTTGCTTGCTGGCAGGCTTTTTCTTCTTTGTCTGAGTGGTCTCATAAGTTTTCTCTACTTCCTCCTAATTAGTGGAGAATAAGTGCAATAACTCAAATGAAAAAGCAAATAGAACAGGTACATTGAGAATAAAAAAAAAAAACAATAATTATGAAATCCTTTTCATAAAACAAAAACATATTCAGTGTTGAACATTTTCACCCTTTTGTCAAAGTTACGGGTCACATTTGCATTGTTAAAGAATTTTTAATTATTCTCCTTTTTTCTTCTCATTTACACTGTGCAATTATTTAATTTAAGGTTCTTAGCAGTGTTAAAGAACAGTTAACAGTTGATGAAAGGGCAAAGCAGATACTTTTTTTAAATCAATGAGAAATCAAAAAGTTGTTGCCTTTGCAGGAGACAGGCTCTCAGCTTCAGACTGACTGTCATCAGTCTCTGGCTCTCTGTAGCTCTTGGCCGAGGTGGCTGCGGCTCGCCTGGGCCTTTTTCCAGCTGCAGGTTGTCTGCCAGATGCTGCTGCTGACTTTGCTGTCTGTAGCTTATTCAGCCCCATCTTTGGCTGATCTGGGGCCTTCTTCAAATCGGGTTTTTTCTTATACAACAATGACACGCTGTGGCTTAGTGGAATACTACATCACTGGCTAAAGTAATCATTTAAATAACTTAGAAATTAGGCCTTACCTTAATGGGCTCATCACCCTTCGCAGCTTTTAAACCTACAGTTTTTGGAGAGGGTGAGGGCAAATCCGTGGACTCAACTACAATTAAAGAAGCAAACATTATTTCAGCTATGATGTGATAAATTACATAACTTGAAAGCCTGAAAATGGCTTTCATGACTTACAAGAAGAATGAGAAGGGGCTCCTTTGGGTTTGATGAGTGCCTGTCTGGAATATTTGGTAACTTTTGGTTTTGCCTTTCTGCTGGACTCTCTCAGCCAGCTGACCTCTGTCATGGCATTGTCTGTGTCTGTGTCACTGAACAGATGCTTTTTCACATAGCGCTTATTCTGCAACACACAAAGTGACAGCCAGTGAGGAACTTCTTTAAAAACTGTCTTTTAAATTCAAAGCATACCTGTGCCGCAGGAGGTGCTTTCCCTGTCGTGCTGAAAAATATTGGGGGTAAAAAAAGTCATATTTAAGTTAAAACGATTCCAATCCAAAATTGTACAACATTCAGTGGCAGCATTTCTTGATTTATTCAGTATTTTCCTAACAATTTTTAAACCTACCTGCTCAAGACGGCAGGAGCCGGTAATTTGTTTCCTCCCTAAAGTGCAAAAAATGATTTTTATGATGCTAATTTAAGGCGATTTAAATAATTAGATAAGGTCAAAATAAGTATTTACCCCCATGCTGAGAGGTGAATCCACTTTGAAATCAAAAATATCTTTTCTGTACAACAGAACACAAATTAAACACAATTAAATAAACACTAAAAGACAATGATCAGCCCTACATCATTTAAAGGCTTAAACGAGAATCTTTTTACCTCTGCTTGTTTGTTGCGTTTTTGTTGTTGGATTTCAATAGGCTCTGTTACAGACAAACATCATCTTCATTATCTTATCATCATCATCATCTTATCACTCAAAGATCACTCAAGTCATCTCAATAAATGAGTGAGTCACTTACTTTACTAGTTGATAACCAGCTTATATTGAAGATTGGTCTAAAGCAAAGACACAATAGTCGTACATGAATTTTTATATAAAAGGGAATCATACTTAGTTTATATCAGTAAAAACCACAAAACAGTGGCTTTATCATTGTATACCTGTTGACGAGAGGAGGAATCCAATTCTGGGTAATTTTTTCTGTCGTCTGTTTTCCTGTAGATTTGGTTTTAGTTTCATAGCGGCTAGAGATGAGCTCTAACATGCTGCCTGCCACCTCCTTGTCTCTCTAAAGAGGGACAACAGAAGAAGTAAAAATTATGTTTATTGATTAGAAAAGATTACATTCATTGACCTTAAAATAGACAAGAGGTGTCATAAGGTTACAGAATCCCTACTTTCTCTTTGTTTGAATTGATGGCCTTCATTTCATCCATAGCCTTGGAGGGTACTCTTCCCTGCACTGTTTTGGTGGGAGCACTAATGAGTGAAGATGTTTTTGGAACAGTCTCTGCCCCAGATGACATCCTGCTTTTACTCTCCCCTTTCTTGTGACTGTTTCCCTGAGCCAGCGGCCCTTTGGGAATACACAGTGAAGAACCACGTTGGTTTTCTGAACCTTTGTCTTTAGAGCCCCTTATTGTATTGGAGGGTTTTTTCTGAACAGCCTTTGGCTTCTGAGGTGAAGAATCTGGGTTCCTCTCACTGAGGACCTTCTGTAGGCGCTGGGTGAGCTCCCTGTGGAGCTGCTTTTGGATGACAAGGTTTGAATCTGAAACGGATAATTTCTGTGCTGAGGGCGGGCAGCGCTCCTGCTGTGGTCCCACTCTGGAACGAGGCTCTTAAGACGGGAGGAAAATTGAATATAAAGGTTTAATTAGATTTTATTTTATCCATCTAATTTTTCCTGTGTTTCTGCTTTTTATGTTTGAGAAAATTAATTAATTTAGTAAAACTGAAAATTCTTGCTTTACCCGATCTTGGCAGAAAATTGACTTTCTGTGTTGGCATCATTAACATTTCAGACATAGACAATTTGTTCCAGCTCGAACATGATCTAAAATGTCACAAACACAGATATATTCAGATACACTTTCTACACTCAAGTGCGTCGCCACATCAGTGACCACATGACCAGGTTGGAGGTTCTTTACAACACTTACGTGCTTCGTGCAGATCTGGGTTGGGTGTCAGGTATAAAATAATGCTCTGGAAATAAAAAAAGTGAATGAAAGTGTCAACAGAACTGAAGACTAAGTAAAGAGATTATTTTGTCATAAGTAAACCTCAGGCATAGTTATAATGGGAATACAATACCCAGAGCCTTTTCCTCTCCCTGTCCAGCGACAGCCACATCGGCTGCTTCAGCCACAACTGTCCCCTGCAGGACAGCACATGTAAACTCAGAGATACTTTAATACAACTGCCCTCTACTGGCACCTCTAAAATGTCAAAATACATATCAACAGTTGAAGAGTCCATTTTTAAGGAAAACTAAGTTTTAAAAAAAAGTAAAACCTAAATAATTTATGTTGATACTTTTTTGCTCTTGTTCTACAGTGACTGTTGTACTTTTTCTGGTGGCTTTTTTAAAGTGATTTTCAGTTTATATTTTGTTCCTAAATCTCCTTTTGTATTATACCCTTGTGTTTGGGGAAGTGTATTTTCCAATACACATTTTAGTTTTAGGATTAAGACATTCTCCTTTTCTCCTGGTTAAGTATCTGCCCCTGAATCCAGAATAAACAGATGTATTTATCTGTGACAAACCTGCTCTTTCATGCCAACTGCATTTGTGCTCCCAGGAGTTTTGGTATGACTGCTGGTCTTAACAGTCGTATCACGCATGCTCCACCTCTCAAGAGGCGTCTTATCTCTGTCCCTGCCTGCAAGTGTACAAAAATAAGAAAAAAGGAAAAGGTCAAACCTGCATTATTTGTCTTTATGAATGATTTTCACTGACAGAAAATAGGGTATAAGGAGAAGATTCCCAACAGGCACAATAAAAGTGTGTGGGATGGGTTGGATTACAATTCTGTGTATGTGAACATAACTTAATATAAATTCTAAATGCTTGTGTTTAAAAGAGGAAAAATCTAAACTGACTAGAGTGTTGATAGAATCATCAGGTTAACAATAGCAGATAGGTCTGCATGTTACCTACCCGATAACTTAGATGCAAGAGAGCTGCCAGTGTGCGCGATTCCTCCGCTGCTGCAAATGAAGGTTATGGACTCTGACATCCTTGTCTTGGCAGGGGTTACCATCTGGATGGAGATTCAGACGGTCTGTGAATCCTTTGATTGGTCTTGAAACTACCAAATTATATAAGCTTTTATAGCTTTCACATGCATTGTATAACTTTATGCTCTTTATTTTCCTTCCTTGTAAATACATACTGTTAAATCATCACAAAGCAAACTTCCTATCCCAATCTGGACTGTAAACTGTAAAAGATCTTTGTAAAAGCTAAATGTGATGCTAAAATCTGAGGGCTGTATAATGTTTATCCCATAGCTAGTACCTGCGAAGGTTCAACTGAGGCAGATAAAATGTAGGGAGCAGTAGTTTTCTCACTTTCACCAAGTGACACCTGACTCTCTGGAACCACCTGTGCGTGCAGTACAAACACATGATCACTTCAAATGCTGTATTCATTTTAAAAGTTCAAAGTTTTTCTCATAATACAAATGTCATAAATCAGTGTCCGCTGTTATTTCAGCTAACGTCTTGTCAGTTTGGCTCGTTTTAAATCGAGCCAAAGCAAAGCGTGTGCAGCTCCTTTAGCGAAAGCCTTCCACATTAATTTTCACACTGATCTAGTCACAGCTGTAAATTGAGAACATCATTTAATAAAGCAGTGTTTACCTGGGTGCTGTTCCCCTCTGTCACAGTTTTAGCTGAAGCTTTCACTGCAGATGGACACTAACAGAAAAGGTATCTGTTAAAACAAATCACCTATGCAATGCTAAGCATTCATTTCAAATTATCCTCTCAAATTCATCATGGCAAAGCTTACTATTCAGAATGTTTTGTATTAGAATGTATGAATGCAAAAAATGTTAAAATGCTGATTAGAAAATAAATGATAGTCTGTACTTTGTTTTTGTTGAGTCCATAAACACTGCGAGCAGCGTGTAGGATGTTCAGGCAGGAGCTGAAATGGATGGAGAGACTGGATCCTTCCACTGCACCAACAACCACTACCTCTGTCAGCTTTATCTGCAAGACTCTCTTCTTGCCTTCCTCTGGAGATAAAGAACACTCTGTATTTGAACAAGCACTTAAGAGGCCATGTCACGTTACACAGGCTCTTTTATGCATCTAAATGCTTATTTAACGGATAACTTGTGTTTTTCTACAGGTCCATAAATAGATTATATAATTAAAAGTCACGTTACAATGCAAAAAAGAATGTAGTGTATAAGTGACAAAAAACAAGCGGACTGCAGCTGACGGTGCACTTTGATTACCGGTAACAGTGTAGTTCTGGACTTCATTTTTGTTGATGCATATTGTTTCCCAGTGGCCCTCCTACATGAAGGGAAAAATCCGCTTTATTAGGTGCAAATGGATCTTGGCCCTGGACAAGAATTTGTTTCTATTTTCTGTGTGTATATGCAACTGTTTTTGTCTACACGTGAGTTATCTTTGAGTGAATGAGAACCTCTTCATCTGGTAAAGAAAAGTAAAAGGAGATGCTGTGGCTTCCAAGGTTGAAGTCGATCCAGAATTCCTCAAGCTTCTCATCGGAAGGCATCATCAGCTAGCAAGACAAGCAAAACCATTAACAGCTCCAACTTAATTCCAACGTCTCAAAGTGTAGGTTGTGTTAGAGCAGATGTTTGACTGCTGGTTTCAGATAGCAGAATCTGTTATAGTATTGTGTTTCTGCATGTTTGGATCCTGTTGATACTAACCTCATAGTTACCCAGAAATACTTCCAAACAAGGGTAAGAGTACACTCTGCAGCAAAGAAAAGACAATTATTCAGAAAAAAAATTATCAAAAAGGGCCAAAATACTGTTTAGCATTCAAAGTGACAGGAAGAGAAAAAGTTGTTCCTTTCAACCTCAACCCAAAAATCCCTGTTAGTTCCCCAGTCATTCTCTAAGAGCAATGGTGTACTTCTACCTTCTCTTGTCTCCCTGCATTCCGTTCACCATGTTCAGAAACCTGCGACAAGCCTGAAATCATGAATTTACATTCAGTTCTACATTATTAAATGTAATATTATCACAATATATGGCCACAACAATACCTCAAGATGTACATGTAAATGACAACCGGAACATGAAGTGATTTATTTTACCGTCTCAAACTCTGAATCACTAATCTGGGCAAATGCACTGGACACATGGCCCATGGTGAACCACTGCTCAGCGAGCCTCTTCCGCTGGTCAGGAGCGGCCATTCTGCATAATGCCTCCATCAGTGATGATTGTAAGTCATAATCTAAAAAGAAAATATTTATTCAAATTGTTTAAACCTCTGATAATCCAATCAGAATGAAAAGAAAGAAAAAAAAACCTACCACCACCCTCCAATATCCGACTGGCTAGTTTGGTCCTGTGGTTAAAAGGAACGCACAAGTGTTAAGGATAGTTTGGATATTTTACTATTTAATACCAAGAAATTAAACTCTGTTTTGAGGTAACTACCAAGACATACATTATATCTGAGGCCTCCTGCGATGTGAGAATCTTCCTTTCTTTCTTCAACTCAGCGGGAATTTGGTCCAGAATCAGGTTATATTTACGAATTGCCTGTTGGAACATTATTATTTAGTTCATAGCAAATACTGCAATTTTCCTCATTTAAAATAATATCCCCTCCCCAACAAATAAGGTATTTCAAACCTCTTTTTGGATCAGAATGTAAATTCTAGGGTCTATTGCCAGCTGACCAACAGGATACAGGAAGGACTCTGTGATTTTGTATTTTCCTGTAAAACATATTATGAAACTACACTTCTATTATTTGTGGTGATTCATTTAAAAACAGTTCTACGGAGCTTACATATTTGTGTACGTTTTGAGAGAAAAAAGGAACAGAAATACCAGCAAATAATTATAACAACCAAATGTATAGAAGCCACACACATATTATTAATGGAATCAATTCCTATCCATACAGTAGTACATGATGATTACGTAGTGATAAATAATGTTTCTATATTTTTTGCACAACAGTTACCATTTGTTTGTTTGTTTGTTTCTCACAGAAGACAAAACATACACAGATTATACCAAATACCAACACAAAACAGGGAAAAATAGTATGGGCATACCCTCTTTGCACGTTTCATGAACTACCTGCAAAAGGAAGAAAAGAAAAACTTTTATTAAGTGACACTAGCCAATGTAATTATACAGTATGGGGCTAATCGAAGATTTTGTCTCACCATTAAGGCATTTAAGAAGTTCTCAGAGAGTGTGAACAACGTCTCATCCCAATGTGGGCCATGCTGGATCCACATTTGCCTGCATTTTTCAAACCACTGGACCATGTACGCAAAAACAGATTCAATCAAACCAAAATTAATTTCTTTGAAAAAGACTGCAATACAAAATTTTTGGGAAGCAACACGAATATGTGCTTTAATAATTGTATACTTATCTTCTTAATCAGTCCTTGAGTTATTAAACGTGACAGTCCTTGACCACAACCAGGTAGTTTTAGGTTTTTCCCACACTTGTAGAGACTTGCAAAACCCAAACTGGCTGATTTGGCATCCTTTTGATCAAAACTCTAAAGAATATAAACACTTGGTACTGAATGAAATAACCAAGTAAAATCATAGTATACTGATCATAGCATGTGCTTTCATCTTACCCGGTTTACCAGTTTATCCAATTTGGTGAGAAACTCTTGAGAGCACTTCATTATAGAGTCCTCATGTATGTCTTTCTCTAGGAATACATCCAGTGCTTGCGGATCCCCAGTCTTTAAAACTTCATCAATAACATTCTCCAACTGCACAAAAAAGCTTTCTGTTATTATCTATCAATCTATTGCATAAAAATAATAACATTCATTTCAATGTAAGATAGTAATCGATGCTTTAATACCTGTCCACCTTGACTAGGTGCCATTCTTGCCTCAGAGAAATATCTTCACTGCCACTTAAAAATCTGTGCACCTGAAATTTGAACAAAAATGAAAACACCAACCAATACCTGTTATATCAATAAAGACCAAGTGACTACAAAACATTTACAAGGACATATGAACATTTATCAACATGCCTACATTCAATATAACTATCGTAGGCACTTTATAGTGTCATTGGTGAACATAAAGTCTGACAGAACAAAAAATAAAATGAATCTGTTTAACTGACACCCTTTATGCTCTTCACTTTTAAGCTACCGTAACAATAATTGTTTCTACATGAGAAGTGTAAAATTGAATCTCGACAATAACCACCGAAATTCATTATTTTTTCAGAACAAATGTTTAAAGAAAATTTTTGTTTCTTACAAGTTACTTACTTTTATATTGCTGCTCATGAAACACAAAAAGAGGTGATTTTCTCCCTCTCTCTAAAACGGCCCAGCGTAAACCCGCGAAGCTTACGCTTCAACGCGCAGGCGCGTGACAGCCCAGCTATTACTCCGTTACCATAGATACAAAGGAAGGGATTTTATTGGTGCAACGTTCACTGTTGTAACCGAAAATATTCTGTCGCCCAAAACCTGAACAAAGGGACAGTCTCATGTACTGCCATTACATAAATTAACAGTTGACTCCGCCTTTACTATAAAATTAAAATATCGTTTCGCTGTAGATGAATATCTATTTTTATTTTAGCTGTTAGCTAAAATTGTGTACAATGTGTATTATACACCAGAAAGGTTTGCTTTTCTGCTTGTGTTACTGCAAGTCACACAAACAAACACACTCATATCTACTGTTGAAGTCAAACTTTTAATGATAGTAAAACTTTTTCTACAACAAAATGTTGTAATGCAAAATCGCTACAGATGTGTCCATTTCTACGTCATGAGAAGATTCATTATAACAGGAACTTTTGCCTATTCCATGCTGTGGATAGCTGTTTTGACAATATTTGCCCTGAAAATTAAATCAGTTAAAAGACATAAAATTGGCTACCTGAACACATTCCTATCTAATCTCCCTTTTATCCTGCTACAAGTCAACAGTGGACAAAGGTGCATTCTTTTCATAAATAATCATATCTTCATCTGAGGAAAGACAAAATGATTATTTTGAAGAGAAAAGAAAATCTGACATTTTAGTGCAATTTTTAAAACAAGTGCCTGAGTGTTATTTTACCCTTTAAGAATCAATCTGGACATTATAAAGTATGTAATCCTATTCCAAATTATGCTCTTTGGACTATCAACACGTTCAACACCTTATGTTGTTCCGTGTTCTTGTCCCAATAGATCTGGAAATCAACTGTAATAAAGTGCTCGAAATAGAATTTTTCTAGCTTTAGTTTGCGTTCTAAAAAAAGTGCACCATGCTATCCTCACATTCTTTAGGCACAGTTATCTTGTAGTTTTGGCACACTAACTTATAATTCTCTCCATTATTGTTGTCCCAGAATTCAGTCCCACAAACTTTATACTTTATGGCAAACTCTAACAGTGCTCCTGGCCTCAGGAATGGTGGGACTGGCAAATGGAAACGAAATGTATCACAACTAATTTGCCCCTGTTCTTCTGAGGTCTTGGTGGTGGTGGAAACCCAAGATGCTTTTGTTTCTGAACAGCTCTTCCATTCTGTAAATGTATAACGAACTATGACCTCTTTCTCAAAGTCTAAATTGAGAACCTGAGCAATTCCAATAATCCCTAGTTCAAAACACAAGACATTCTCCAGACACACTTTCTGCACACTGAGGCGATGAAAGAATCCTGGCTGATCGCCTGGTTGTTGTGCAAAAACTGGCTTCAAATATGGCAAGGAGATCTCCAAATGCCTTCCATCTGCCATCTCAGCTCCAAGCAGCAACCTAAAGGTGACATGATGTGGCACGAACGGATCCTCTCCTGATTTAAAAACCCTGACATCTTCCAGATCAAGCCCCAAAGAGTCAACAAACCGTACACCCGCATTTCTGCACTGCTTTGGTTTCTTGTTAGTGGCCGAAGGCAGGGAACGGGATCGCTGTCGGATGATGGGTTTAGGCACGGGCTCACAGGTGAGAAACTGGTGGAACTCCTGTTTTTTTGTCTGAGCAACCCTGGGGCTTGGTGGCCGTATTGGGACAGGCTTCTTTAATGCAGCCGGTTTGTCCGCTTGAAGCATTTCAGTTACATTAATGGTTATACGTGGCCTCAGGACACCGCCATGTCTTGTTGGCTGTTCAGGTTTTGAGGAGAGAATCCGCTCATGTCCAATAAACCACTCTTTATCCATCTTCTGCAGGAGTAGGTACTGTTTTCACCTGGATTAAAATAAACAATATCAAATCTCATGAAGCACAATAAATTCATATATCACAGTTTGTCCTTCAGCCTCACTTTAACCTCAGTCCCGCAGACCCAGTTATAAAATTAATCTACAGAAAAAACTCATATTTCTTAACTTTGACGAGCTGTTACAAAATTGAAAAAAAGGGGGGCGTGTTTCAGGGAGTACGTGCCCGATCGCACAATCTATTTGCATGACCTCTGCCCAAACATCTGCAGCACAAATGATTTGGTCAAACATATTGTTGGAGAAAATGAAACGTTAACATTACCTTACCATGTAAAGCTCCGGGGCATTGTTTATTTGCAGGCTGCAGGACGTGTTCTCCAGTTGGAGTAACATGCATCAGAGCTGCGCATTTCCGCACGTCACGAAACCCTCGCCACTGCTCTCAAATCGTTTCAGCAGATTTACAAGTGAGAAGAGCAGGCGTGCTTCTGGCCTTTAGTCGATGGAAGTCTGCTCACAAGCGCCCACCGAACAGGAAACCGTGTACATGCTAACGTTATCTGAGGTCGTATGGGTGATTGAGGAATTTAAGGTTAACAGTTACGTGTGTGTGAACCGCTGCCCCCTCCTCCTTTACATCGACAGAGGAATACATGTTTCTCGGTTCGTGTCTCAAATATTTCAGAGTAACAAGAAGTTTCTTGTCGACGCGCTTGCAGTTAATTTAAATATTGGCCGGGATGCAAGTACTTCAATTCCCATAATGCACCTGTGGCGCTCGGTCGCGCAGGCAGCGGGCCAGTCAGCAGCAGGTAAACAAACCCATCCGACTGGGGAGACGAGCCAAACAAAGCGTCTGCGCCGTTTGACCGTGTTGCGTTTGTAATGGCGGAAAGAATGACAGCCGTGTAAGACGTCCCTCTGGTGTCACCAGCTCGTTTGAAAAACAAAAAAAACACTTACAGGAACGCGACTGAATAACGAGTCAGGTCGACGACAGGCAGACGCGTTCAAGCCGCAGCAGAAAAGAGGCTGAGAAACTGCGCACGATGCACTGCAGCTCTTTGGAGAAAATGGGTGTTTTGGGCCATATCCTCAGGCAGGAGTGTCTGATCCGAGATGTGGGTTGGCTTCTTTAGCTACCGTGTGATTTAAGAGCCGAGCTGGACTCCAAACAACATCATCTATGGTGCAACATGGGGCCCATCATGCAGGAACGCACTGCATCCACGACACTGAAACGCGTCGTTTCCAAAGAAAAGATACGGGTCAAGAATACTGAAAATAACGGACCAGTGACAAGGTAAGTCTTTTTTCCCCTTCTTTTCTTTACAGTGACACTGTTGAGACTGTTTTGTGACGGGCACTACATGCAAGACTTACAGACCATCACTGTGTTCACAGTTCTAAGAAAGCTAATAAGATGAAGAAAGCCGTGGGTCAAATGAAGAATGGCCTTCCAGGGCAGGATAAGGACACAGCCACAGCATTTCACAGGGTAAGACTTTGTAACATGTCGTTCAGCTATATGACAAACAGTTATAATGAAGGAAGAAAAAGATTTGTCATAATGATTGTTTTACAGGGTTCACAATCCAAAGGTGGCAGGCTTAAGCCCAGCACGTCTCGGAACACAAACAAAGTCTCCAGGTAAGAGATGGGAGGGATGGTCATAGAATTTTGAACACTTTACATCAGCACTTTAAATCATCAGCAGCTTGCCACTGAAATCATCTGTCTTTTCAGTCCCGATGAAGAGGGGGATTTGAGACCTCAACTCCACAAGCACCCATCTGCAAACAGGAAAGAGGAAAAACGAGAAAGCCAGCGGGCGCCACCGTGCATCAGCGAGCTCCCCCCAAATCGCCAGGCTATGGGCAAAAACCGCCGAGCCCTTTCCCTGCCTCTGTCTCCAATATCGGGGCTACGACAGTCCCCAGCTCAGCCCTTAATGCACTCCCCAGCCCCCACCCCGGAGGCCCTCCAGCAGCATTACAATCACAAGGATGACGACACCGACAGCGCCAGTGACCTGTCCGACTCCGAGCGGCTGCCCGTCCTGCCTTCCCCCTGCACCCCCTGCACGCCTCCTCACCTCAACCTTCGGGCGGAGATTATCAACACTAGTGATTTCCCACCCGACTTCCCGGGACCCCACGATCTAGCAGATGAGGATGAGGGTGAAAAACCAATCTACAGTTACCCAGACTTTCTGCCTCCTCCTTTCAACAGCTGGAGTTTGAGGCAGCTGGCGGTGTTTCTTCACACCGAGGGGCGCGGTGCCCCCCGGCCCAAGCCTGTGGGGCCCTTAGAGAAGTACCTAGAGAGGCTGCTGCAGCTGGAGTGGCTCCAGATCCAAACGGTCCAAGCGGAGAGCAGCCGTCCGCCCGGGAGCCGTGCGAGGCCACAGGCGTTCCCCGCTGCTGCCGCCGCCGCCGCCGCCCCCCCGCCGAGGCCTCACACCGCCCCGCCGTCCCGACTCAACTCGCCCAAAGGCCCGTGGCACAGCCAGAGGGCCTTTCCCTGCACGCCCGTCAACAACCCCCCGTCCCCCGCCGCCGCCCAGCACCAGCCGTCCCGCTTCCCCGTCTGCCCGCACTGTCACATCCGCTACCCGCTGTGTAACGGGAGCTGCTCGGCCTACGCCTACCAGCGCCACTCGCGGCTCAGCCCGCTGCTGGAGCGCAGGGCGCGGCCCGGCGCCGCGGCCAAGAGGAGCAGCAGCGAGAGCCGAGCCGAGGGCAGGAGCCCGGGGGGGCAAGGTGGAGGCGGAGCCCAGACCCCGGTCAGCCCCTCGGCCGGGAGGAGTCACGTGAGGCACATGCAGGCCGCAGGCAACGCTCGCAAGCAACCCCAAGAATCGGGCACCAACCAAAACGGCAGAGGTCAGATGAGGAAAAGCCGGGTCAGAGCTAATTCTGAGACGGATGTCAAAAAGGAGCTGAGTGGAAATAAAGCGCCAGCTGCGGAGAAACGCAGTTTCGCTACGAGTAAGAGAGATGTAATTACCTCTAAGCGAGAGGAAAAGGACTGGCAGAGGTCAGAAGCAGGGAGCCAGGCTTCTAAAACGACCATGAAAAGAGCTGCTAAAGACCCAGCATCTCTTTCCAAAGCACCACTTAATAGTAAGCAGAATGGCAAAACAAAGAACGTGCATTTTGTCGTAAAGTAACCCTTCCACACCTGTAGAGTAGTGCTTTACTTAGTGGTTACCTGGTGAAAGAGCTCCAACTCATGCCTGCTTTCTGTGTAATGTGTGTAATACTAACATGTTCTAACTGTTGTATAGTCCAAAGTCAGTGGTGTACAGCCCTCAAACAGTTAAAGCTATAAGCAAGACAGCAACTAGCTTACAGACAGAGTCAAATACAGTGCATTTAATTCAAATAGTACAGCTTTGCTTAGAAAGAAGGCCCAGTACGTATATGAACACAGCAAGGAATATAAACACATTTCATTTGCAGTTAGACTTCTATTGCATTTGCTTAGTTTCTCATAATTCTACTAATATTGACCTATAGTTAGAATAAGCCTCTACTGTACCGCTTTACAGCTTTGAGAATCAATACTCTATAGTGGTGTTTAACACTGGTCTTTGCATCTCAATCATCAAATAACTGAGTAACATTTGATGGTGGAAAATATTTATTTCCATGAGTTTTCATTTATGTGATGTTGTTTTTTTAATTCTTTTGTGCCTCATGTTTCCAAATGTAAGTTTGAGCATCTTTAGCTTAAGGGGGGGTGGCATGGAAAGTTGTGGGTTACTGCAGTCGTCTGGATCTTTCACATACATTGTTCAGTGGTTTGAGTCTTAAGTTTCAAGGGCTTTTCATCTTTGAACAGCTTGAATTGTAGTCTATGAAAACATGCTGTATTATGCATAGAGCTGAGCTCTTCCTGTCCCTGAAGACGGTGTAATGTTTGCTACGAATGTAAATGCATATTTTTCCAGATTTTATATACCATAGTTATATTTATGACAAGTATTGTGGGTTTCTTGTATTTATCATTGTCATGATTAAGTTTACATTGACATGCACAGTAAGAAATAAGTATAAGAGCTGAATGTAACTTTGTCTTTGCTGTCATTCCAGCAATTCCATGGAATCTGAACACGCCACAGCTGATAGGCTGTAACATGATGATCTGATTCATGTCACCACAAATTCCACTGCATACTTGACATCTGTAAAACACTGTTTACATTAGAGTGCTTTATCTGTTTCTTGTGTCATTTAACATGTTCACCTGACTAATCATTAATGTGACGTATTAATGAGTGCACCTCTTTACTTAGTATTCTTGTAAAATATCAAAGCCATAAGTAAGGAGTCAGATCAGGTGATATTATTGTAGATGTGTACACAACATTGACATGCACGCTGGACGATTGTGGTATGTATTTTCTCAATGTCGAATGCAGGTATTTGTAAGGCATAGAAATAAATGTTTTGCACACAAAGGAGACTGGTGCTATGGTCCATTCTATAGAAAAATGAATGAACATATCATGACCGTCATTGTTCCAGACACACTAAAATCCACGCTAGCAGTTATGACATACCTCTTGCCTACATTAGTAAAATCCTAATTTTGTCTGAATCTATGAGTACCGTTTTATGGGATTGTTCTTTTCTTTTGTGTCTGTGATCTTTAGGACAGAGTAGTTTTTCTAAAAAATCGATCAAATTAGATCAATATGAATCTATGTTTTCATTATGAAATTCCAAACACATTTATTCAATAAGAATGTAGAGTGTCTACTCCCACCATGGTGAAAAAGTCTAAAACACCAATTGTTGAAGTAGCAGGTTAGAAATTCTTGATAGGGCTACATCTTCTTCTGGAATGGGAATGGTTTCAGAAGGTGGCGTAGCTGCTTCTCTCTGTCATTCACACACCCTGCAGCAAAGAATAGGTGCATAATTCCACTAATTAGTACAGATAGGATGATTCCGCCTTTTTCTATGACCAGTGATCAAATACCATCATTGTGTGTGAACGTTTTTTTGAGTTCCTGGAATTTCTATTTTAATCCTAAAAACGGAGGTTATTTTTCCTTCATTAAGTTTGCATCAGCAGCACAGCTTGGTTACCTAAGTGAGTGTTGGCTGTGAAACACGAACTGCCCAATGTTTGTAGGTTGACATCTTCTCTGTAGACAGGCCCATCGTTCCACATGAGATCATATCCTCCCACTCTTTTCTCTTTGCCAGTCAGCCTAATGAGAGAAACAGAATGCTTATCAACTCTTGGATAGATTCTTCAGTGATCTGTTATATTGTATGGATTTTCTTTTTGCATCTACAACAGTTTACTGCGATATGATCCAAAAGGTAGCTCTCACTATATTTATTATGCCTGAAACGGGCATAAAGCTATCAAACTTTCAACTCACACGACATAATGGCAAATGCAGGATGAAAATTATTATTATTTTATGCTTTGGTTTTTTTACCTTCCCTCCATATCAACAACATTCAAAGTGTCCTCCAGCAGTTTGTACTTCATCTCGTAATCCTCTTGACTGCTGGGTGTCTGTGATGGAGAGGCATTAACTTCAATTAACCACCTGTGAAGATATGGAGAGAGACAACATCAAGTAAACATTTGCTTGGCCTTTCGAGCCTGCACAACAGGACCAGCAACAAGTCCAGTGAGCGTTGTAGCACACTTTTCAATTTGTGTTTATCATTTAAAGTAATATAATTTCTTATATTATTCTTATTTCTCATTCTTTTCAGTTTGACAAAGTAAACAGGTTCACAGTCTGTACATGGCAGCAGAGTTACTGCTTTGTCTGCCACAATTTGTCAGTCCGCATATCATATCTCATGTTTCAAAGAGAACGTGTGTACATTTAGGTCAGAACGTACGGTTTAAGATTGTGATCCAGCAGTATGTCGTATCCATAGAGCTCAAAGCAGTGCTTGTCATTTATGATGACCTTCTGCACGCTCTGTAGGCTTCGGATGAAGATATTATCCATCTCTTTAAAGAGGTTTTCCACCACCTCTCTACCATGCTTGGCGGTCAGGTATCTTCTGAGCTGTTGCATTTTCCATTTGCATCCCTTTAAGACAAAAAGAAAAATAATAAAAGTAACAAAGACATGTTCAAAACAGCTAAGAGACTGAAAAACATTAAATAGTTACTAGATATGTACTTTATCCTGATGTTTTTGGAAAACACACCTTTTCAGGATCATAGTCAGGTGCTGTTTTTTGAACACTCACATTGGTGAGGTGCATGTCTGGAAAGAGGCACTAAGAAGAACTTAAAGACTAAAACAAGCAATACACATATACATTCGTATATATATAATTAAATGTTGGTGATCAAATTCAGCTTTGTTAAAAAAAAGGATACACTTGTCATCGATGCTGCTCAGAGAAAACCGAGTGTTTGTAAACCGGGCAAATCCATCTCGATACAACCAGGCTTTCAAAGGAACATACTGAAAAATAGACACACGTGCAGAAAAACTGATTTCAACATAAAGCAACAAATTGTGTGTGTTTTTCTAAAGTAATTGTCAATTTACACGGGCCAGTACGTACTGATGTGACAAGCACGTAAACCCTCAAATCAAACTTCCTGCCTGTGTGGAGAAAAAAGCATAGCAATAAAAAAAAATGCAGAGCCATGGGGCTGACCGACTGTCCCACCATATTTTCTTAAACTGTGTCTCCGAAGATTTGATACTTTTTCCAGAATATCAATTATCAATAATTCATACTGTTTATTCAGATTCTTACCATTAATGAGGTAAGGGTTCTCTATGTAGCGTTGTGCCACGTAATTTTCCACAGGGGGTGCGTCCTTCTGCTCATCTGTACGGGAACCATCCTGGGTGAACAGTATCAGACAGTAATCTGTCTGAGTTGTGGGTGCTGAATGACATTTTTGTGGTTTCTCATTTACAACCAATTCCTTGAAAAAGTGACTATAGGTTACCTTCCTCCATTCAATGATGTCCTTCAGTTTCCTGAACAGGAAAATGCCTTTACCTTGAGATTTTGCTACCTGAATAAACATTCTAGTTAATTTTCTTGCAGTAAAAGCAGTACAGTGATAACTTTATTTCAGCATCAATGGGCCTACTGAAAGTGTAAGAATTTCCTTGCATTACACTGAGAGACTTGTGGTCTACTTAAGCTCACCGGCTTCATAATCCACGTGCAGCCAGGGCTTCTATTGAACTCCTCCACAAAGAGGTGATACTCGCTGGGTAGTGCAAAGGTGCATGGAAAAAAATCACACTTGGAAGCCTCCACACGTCCCGTTTCCCTTTCAAGATTTTTCTGATACCTTTTGAGGTTTTTTACCATGAGATTTTTTCGTGTCAGCTGTGAATTAAAACACAGAATAGGACATTGGGGTGTAGTTTGTACTCATAGCATGTCAGACAGATGCCATCTCACCTCATAATGGTTGCGAAAATGATTTATTCTGACATGTTCCCCCATGTACATGTGATCAAAATTTTCTCTGAGCCAACCCACATCACACCAGTAGAAGTCCCACTCTCCATCACTGTCAAGAGATGTGACACAACAAAAAAGTCAATGCAATATTAGCATGAATATTTAACCACGCAAAACACTCCACTTTACTGCAAATAAATGTCAGTAATATCTTGTAACTCACTCTTTCACCTCAACCCAGTTTGGTCTTTGGCGCAAGACATCTTGTATGGTATTTGCCAGGCCAGATCTGTAACGCACAGAGCTTCTTCCCTCTCTAAAGAGACACATTTCAGTCAATGTCACCTGAACTTGGGAAGTACATTCAATTCAGTCAACTTACAAACACCCACCGCTCCTCATTTTTGTCACATGATCCTTTGTATCCACATGTCTGTAATAATAAAGGGAGTAAATCAGGTTTTTGTTCAGTTGTTGACTAAAATTAAACATCTTTACCCAAGTACTGTGGACAAGTACAAGCCAGTGTTTTAGAACCTACTTGACTTGATAAACTCTCCATTTTCCCAAAAATGTAGCTTTCGAACATTTTAAATGAGCAACATTATTTTACTATAGCCTTTATAACCTTTTATCATAAGCTGTAGCTTAAGACACAAGCTACACTACAGCTAAATGTTCTGTTGTTTTTTTCTTTACCTTGTACTTTGACATGGTCGGTCTATCCGAGAATGAGAAGAATCTAAAGCTATTGAATGATACTTTGGAGCATAAATAGCAGCAGTTTCCTCAGTTAGGAAGTCGTCTGCAGTGTTTTGAGAATAGTTACCCAATGGCCATTGGCATGGCAACGATCAATCAACGGTATAGAAAATTGTCCTAATGAGCTTTCCGTAGCACTGCAAAACCATGTTGATGTTGAAAGTTTGTACGCTTTTAACATTTGTCCCAGAGGTTTTGTAAGTTGTTAATTAATCAATATAGTCGTGTTCATTTGTATTGCCTTTTTGATATATGAATGGAGTATGAATAAATAAACGAAATCAATTTATACAAACATGATATCATAGGGAATATTAGTGTGTAACAGGATGAACTCCCGGGAGCAACATTAACTCTCATCACCACACGGTGACGCCAAAATATTACTTTATGGAGCACGATGAGGCTGCATTCTGCTTATTTTGTCTTATCTCATTAAAGTTGTGTAGATTTTTAAACTCAAATAACTTTTGGGGGCTGTTGCCCTCTGCTATCTGGTTGAATGGAAATTTATTGACTTATCTATAAACAACGTCTATGTAATCATCAAGAAAATAATTTAAATAAGATAAAATACTGACCACAATTGCAACCACTGTGATAAAACACGCCCCACTGACAAATGTTCCAGTGACTAAAAGCAGATCTCTACTGTGACTTCCACTTCACAAAAAACTCTCTTCAATACATTTGGTACAGTAATATAAAGATTAACAATCAGTGAGAAAACATTTTATCATCCATATTTGACTGAAAGGTAGTCATCTAAAGGCCAATGGATTGTGTTAAATCTGTAGGAATTAAGAATTTGTGTTTTCAGTCAGCATAAAAGTGTTTGCAGGTGCGTGTATTGTTGATTCTTTGGTTGAGTTTGTTTGGATGGTGAAATATGGATCACCATTTATACTTCTGAAGCTCAGGTCATTCTCCAGCTAAGAAAAACATTGACATGTTTAGTTTTTATCAGCCTTTTGTAGATAATGTAAGTATAGTTTGTACTTAACTTGGATTCAAATGTCAAGTAAAATAAATGTGTAGTAAAATTGATATGTAGAAGGTGATAACAGTTTTACTTTGAACTTGATCTTAGGCAAAGCCCAGGTAGGAAGCCTGAAAAATGTAGAACATTTTTAGTCAAAGGACCAGTAAAGAATTTCTGCTTACATAATAATCATAGGATGGAAGATGACGCAAATAACAAGCTATTATTATTAAAATAGATATAAACATGCAATTCTCTGAGAACACAAAAAGTCCAGTTACCCTCTACTCAAACACACACACACATACACACACACACAGACTGAAGAATTTTTTATTTCATTATGGTTAGAAACAGCATCACAGTTTTGACTATCCATATACTCGATCTTCAACTGTCAGGTTCAGCCTATTATGAAGAGTTTTTAATTCTGTCACCTTGACAACAGTACAAATCCTTTTTGTGAGTTCAGTCCTTCATGTTTTATGAGAGGCATCTTATTCTTTAAAGCTTTTTAATTCATATATGTGCTTTCAGAATCATGCTTTTGCAAAACCTTTATTCTTTATCCCTAATAATTGGTTAAACTAAAGGTGCCTTTCACAGGTCAACGTCTCAACAATATCTTATTTTCAGGAGTCTGTGTAACATTTTAAGGTTTGGCTAAATTCCCTTGTGGGGTTTGCTATCTGTCTCTAGTAGTAGCAGTACGTGTTGTGCATATAATTTTGGTTAACCACATATCCTTATGCAACAGGAAAAAAAGAAAACAATTCCATGATCACCAGTATCTTGGAATGAAAATTGCTTTTGAGGATCAACACATGATGGTTTCATTCCTTTAAACACTTAACCCACGTTTTTGTGGGGATATGAAAGTAAGTTCCAGCTTTATTGTCCAATTCAAATTGTCACATTTAATCTTAATTCAGATTTCATTGAGTCTCTATGATTGTCTTACTCTGACAACTCTGGTTTTACCACTGCTTTGGTTTTTCACAAATCTCAAAAACCACCACTTATTGTGAAAAATCCCACATGTCATCCATTTTCTCGAGAGTGATAGTCATTGGTCCTGGTAAACTGTGTGCCCCTCTGCAGATAGACCACAGAGCAGGGAACCTGTGAGATCCAGGAATTCAGCTGCAATCCATTTGAGAGCTATGTTGCTGACTGAAGTCAATTCATCCACACCTTGGAAAGATGTTATATTTGGGAGAAAATTGAATTCGACACACATAGACACACACACACACACTTGAACTTGTCAAGAGTATACCTCACTCATATAAATATATTTATATATGTATATGAGGTATAATGTTGACAAGTTCAAGTGTCCAACACTGAAAGATAACACCCACGCTTCCATTCACACCTTTGTCAGCAACCAATTTAACTGGCATGTCATTAGATATTACACTAAGCAAGGAAATCCAAAGAATAGCCTGAGGAAAGACATACAAGCTCCACACAGAAAAATCCAGACTATTTGTGAGCTTTTTGAGGTGACCACTGTTTCTCCTCATTTCGAGAGGCTTACATATATGCTGCCTCTAAGATATTAAGGCCACCTGTTTATTGTTTCTCTGCTCCCTACCCCAGTAGCACTGCAACACTCCCGAGGTAATGAGAGTGCAAATCTCCAGGCTCGGAATACAAAAAATGTTTTCTAATAAAACACAAGAAGAGGCCCAGAATAACAGGTCAAAGTGGTAGCTGGAATTCTTCTGAAGTGTATTGGATTCCTTTATGTCTCCCAGTGCATATAGGACTTTGTTATGAAGAGTTTTCCTCTGCTGAAAACGCAAATATAATCAACACCTCACAAGATGATTTGTATAGCAAAGTAAGAGAACAGAGCGCTTGAATTATAGAGAAAAAATACATGCCTGACCTCCCGTGTCAATGCTGGTGAAAAGTAGAATTAACAAAGGATTTAGGGAAATTCTTAAAACAGGCTGGAAAATACTAAAAATAAACTTGAGATTCTTAGTAGAGAGGGATTTTTCTAACAGCACAATCGACAAAAATGAACAATTCAGGCGCTGAAATGTTTTGCACAATTCAACGAGAATGAACCGAGAGAGGTTTAATAAGATACGGTCGATCTTTATATTTTGAATTCTCAATCTGTTTTTATTGTCTTGATCGGCGATGCCAAACCAAGCTCCCTCACTCCCAGGAAATTTTGTTCCATGCATGTGTAGTTTTCAGTGGTAAATTACCAGCAGTAAACCCACACTGCAGCATTAGACAAGGATGCAAAAGGTCCTTCATGGCTTACACACATCCTGGGACCACTTAACCACACACAGTCAACTTTCTGAAAGCATTCTGTCTCCATAACTCTGGTAAGGAGAAAGAAAACAGAATATGTTCTTAATTTATCTGGAATTCTCTCTGTTTCCCAGCTTCAGGGCCGTGCCAGAGAACTTTGGTATGGCACAAAACCTTAACCTTAGGGAATTTGTGGGGGGAGGGGGTGGACCAGAGGGCAGTCATTAGTCAGATGGATATGGCTTTTCTGGGTGTTTCAGTTGGAGAGTACAAATCCAGGGCACTTGAAGTGTGAAATTCAGAGAGTCTTCTTACATCTATATATTACATGTATATTTCCGTGGTTGACCAGACTTGCAGGTGCCTCGCATGTCTTCTTTTAAAAACGATTTCCACAAATGAAACCCAGTAAAGTCAGATGTGAATAATAAAGAAAATTCACCCACATTGGCAGGTTCGTTAGATTTCTCTGTTACAAGTTGTGGGGCATCCTTAAGTGAGAGAGTATTGATTTCCCAGAGGGGCCACAAAAGTGAAAGGAAATTGGAGTTGGAGGCTCAAGGAGCTGAGCTCCTTTTTTCATAACAGTGATCTGGGCGTGGCAGTAGTAGCTACCTCTGCCCGCCATTGTTTATTTGTAAAATTGAACTTAAGTGAGTGCTTCATGCAATTTAGGGAAGTTTTTTTCCCCCTCAGTTTGCAGGAAACAGTGTCTTTAGCGTGAGAATTGGGGTGTAAATCCTTCTCTTCTCTGTAGGATTAGAGCACATATGAGAGGGTGAGTGAGAAGGTGTATCCTGCTAAAAAGTAGTCCATCCCACCCAGAACTGATTTACAGATTCAAATATGGTTAATCATTTCCCCCCACAGCTCTGATTTTGCTGTGCTGTTTTCTAACCACAGCTTGGCTGAAATACAAAAACAATGTGGCAGTGATTTCTCACTTAAACACGAATGACATTTTATCCTCAGCTGAAAATAAATCCATAATTTCTTTGCTAATGGATGACATTCATCACAATTCACTTGTTGAAGTTGAGTTAGACTGTTGTTATGTAATTGGCTAAATAACATTCCTCTGTAAATCAATAAAATACGAGTAGATTTAGTTTCATATTCAACATCTTCACTGCACAATCTTCAGGCGGACTCTCTAATCCAACAGATGAGAGTCCGCTTTTGAAGTTCCCCCGAACAATTCCTGGCTTTCAACAAGCCATCGCAAAGCAAAAGCTTGGCCTTAAGCTCACCTGTCCATTGTGGTTATCTTCAAATCTGTTAAAATGCAAAGTGTAACCAGGACTTTTTAGTTGTCAACCATCAGCTGACTTTAAAAGACTAGTTTGTATGGTTCCTTAAAACAGTTGAATGCTTTCAACAATCGCACAACGTTGTTACGACATCACTTTAACTCCATGCTGATGAGTGGGTAATGAAAGGGGTAACTGGAACAAGACATCCAACAAGACAGGCTAGAGTTAACATTATTCCATTGGTGGAATTATATATCTGTACCCCACATTATTTTTTCTTCACCTACTTTGATTTAAGTGTACAAATGAATAAAGCCACGAATACAATAATGTTGAAGCTATTACTTTTTCCTTTGCTTGTGGTTTCCTGTTCCATTGTAACCAGGATGGTTTCCATTGCAAACTGCATTTAGTAGCATAATCAGCCGACTGTTTAGAGGTCATCTGTGGCTGGTGGTGCCCTTTGAGTAGATACACACACACAAACACACACACGTACACACTACATACTTCCACTACATCATTTCTGGATACTGGCCCACTGTGTCATTGGCAGGTAAACTTGTTTTAATATGAAGCCCACCAGAAGCAAAACTTGGAATTCAGCTAAATGGAAATTTAAAACTCTATTGTACCTGCCAAAAGTCTAAGATGACCAGGGAGCGGATTTGCTGGGAATAGATTAAAAACTTTGATGGTTTAGGCGACATGACATGGCCGTCTGAACGTGGAAACCACCGCACCATGTTGATTCTCTGTAATGATGCGTTTATATCTGCAGCACTGACAGCATCTCTCTTCAGTTTTTTATGAAGTCGGGCTCAGGGTTTTGGAACACGCACTGTAATGACTTTTTCCACATTTTGTTCGTTTCTGCACAAAAGACTACCATGTACCTTCCTTTTGGAAACGAGAGGACAGACTACCTCCTGCTCTCTGCATGTGACCCAGTATATAAGCAGGAGCGCGCGGGGAGGTGTGGGCGTGGACCCACGACTCTCCAAAGCTCTACACCTTTCATTCCTTACTCTCAGAAGGCGAGGTGACGCCGAGGACCATTGTTTTTCCCTCTACATCAGAGTTATTTTACATTGAGAGTAAGCCTATTTACTATTTTTATTTTATTTTTTCCAGAGGACGTAGCTTAATTTGACTCCAGGGCGTAAGTTACATGTGAGATATTTTTTTATAGGCTGTATCCTATCAGGATAGACATAGAGCAGCATATATTTCCGAGCAGTTCGTCACCTCAGGACCATGTGAACAACCCGAGGACCTGAGTCAAATTCAATGGATATGAACGATCATCTCACTATGACTGATTTTGGGAATATCTGACATGGCAAAGATGCCTACTTTCTTCATGAGAATCATGCTTGCCAAAATACTGACTCTGGCTCTATTGCACGGTAGGTTCCTATTTCCTTGAAATGAAAAGAAAGGTAAAGGTCGTACAATTCGTACAGTTTTGTCTTCTCACAGTTTTTTTTTTTTACGTACTTCTAATAAAGGTGTCTTAATGTCTCCCGTGAAATCCGAGAGCAATGCCAGAAGTCTCCCAGACTCCAAGCTGTCCGGCTCCAGGACTCTAAAGGGCTCCCAACTGTCTGACATCTCAAAGTCCAGACAAAAGCGCTGCACCTGTTATTCCTACTCGGATAAGGAGTGCGTGTACTACTGTCACTTGGATATCATCTGGATTAACACTCCCGAGTAAGAGACGCTTTAACCTATTAACATGCACTTTGTAGATCTGTAAACTCTCGGATGCGCACTGTTGCGCAATCTAGCCGAGGTGGATCAAATTAGATAGTATGAACGCCAATGGGTCTGTGATAACTTTGTGGAATTCAAAAGTGACCTGTTAAGCCAAACATAAAATTAGATGTTAAGTCACGCCCAGCTATGCACCGTGAGGGGACAGGCTCCGTCACAGTTCAAGTGATGGCAAGCCCAGGAGAGAGAAACTCCCCCTGCCACAGTCTGAAATCAGATGTTAGTATTCTGTTTTTCTGTTATGGTTTGGTTCATTATCTGCGTTCTAATCTGATTAACTTTTACTTGGTAAGATATGTTAGATATCTGATTGTTTTGTTGATGGTAAAGGGCATTGTTCTGTTTCTTATTTGAGAGCAAATATATATATATTTTAAACAAAAGGTTAAAAAACAGAAATGCATCCTATTAAAATCCTGACTTGAGTAGCGAGAGTTGTGGGCACAGAACAGTCATTTAGAAAGTGTGTACTTTATGTTAATTGGCTTGCATTGATTCTATTTCCATTTGCTAAATGTGGGGCAATAGATTTAAAAAAAAGGTTTGGGACCTAGACAATGGCCCAAAACATACAAAAAGGGAAGTTTTATTAACTAAATACATAAACAAATAAAGTTCTTAGTCTCTTAATTTAGTTCTTAGATGAACACTAAACAAGATAAATGACGGTGACAACCCTGTGATTAACACCTGAAGTTCTGAGAACACAGTTTCTCTGATACTCTGTGCTTTGAGTACTTCAGTCGTTTATTGGGATGGCTCAGTAGCTGGGATGGCTCAGTGGCTGTTGACAGATAAGAATCAGCGAGAGTCACGTGAAGACCTGCTCACAACACTGGAAACACAGTTGACATGAGCCAAACAATCTCAGCGATCCTGACACTGCAGTCAGGTTGTGATGGTTAGTAGATGAAAGAGGCAGAATTATATAATCAGGCAAAATTAAATGTCCACATGATGGAGCGAGGAACATAAAGTTTCCAGTTTTTAAATTGTAATGGCAGAGTTTTATCATCAACAATTTTGCCACTATTTAATTTTGATATAGTGATTTAGGCACTAGTTAAATAAACCTGACTTGACTTGTTAGGTAATGTGAACCACAAATGAAAGCAGCATAAGCGAAGTATTAATTGCGGCTGTAATTTTACTATGCGACCACAAAAACAGTCTTGTTTTAAGAAGTCAAATCCATTGACTTAATGGTTAAAGCAGCTAAGGGGCAGGAGCTGTTTAAGACATCTTAAACTCAGGAGTCATTTAGCCACAGGCGGTAATTAAAACCCATGAGGAGTAAAACAGAGTTTGTACAACTACTGGTAGGCCGAAGGTTTTTTCAAATTGTTTTATCCACAATGCATGTTTAACATGTGTGCTGAGTTTCCGCAGACCCGGAGCAGTGCATTCAAATGTAATGTCAGACACCTTTTGGAAGGATCAACACTTTCAAACCAGATCACTGTCATGAGGTTTTCTTCTAGCTCTGTCCTCTCATGCTCACTCTGCTGAAGGCTGTCTCAGATAAGAAACTTATTCTTTTACAGCTTGGCATGTTGGGACCAATTAACATATTTGAAATTCTTAGTTGGCACTGACATAACAAAGTTAATCTAAAAGCAAATAATACATTTACAATGACTTGTTTAAACTTTTTAAATGAGAGGATGATTTTTTCCTTGTATAGGAGCTCGCCTTTTATATGTCTTTTTATGGCCACTTTTGTGGGCACGTGTATTTGGAAAGCTTGAGGCAAGGTTCTCCCTCAACCATTAGTTGTTTTCAGCTTACATTAGCATTTTCAGACCTCCTTGACATATTACGACTAAACTCCTGACTCACACTTCAGACTTAACAGGTAGAAAGTTAAAAGGCATTTTACCCTAAGGATACAGTTGCAATCAGATAGAGTGAAGGAGTAGGCAAGCAAGACAAAGTGGAAGCAGCAGGCAGTAACACTGAAGGTATTTAATCAGACACAGGCAGCAAGCAGTCTGACATATTCTGACAAGTTCATGAGAGAAAGCTATTTATCTGTCAGGCGAGCTTTAATTTCAAATGACCAATGTAGCCTATTCACCTTCATGTGCAGACCTTCCTGTGCAATACCTGCTGGGATACTCAAAAGCAGATTGTCTTCCTCCTTTGACCTTTTAGACCAAACAAGCCTCAGACACATTTGTATGTCTTTGGTTTGACTCCTTTTTTTCTTTGTAAAATAAATCACACATGGTTGAAAACAGATGAGACGACAGAAAGAAAAATGTCAGCATGACAGCATAAATGTTGTTGTCCAGATGGGAGAACTGGCAAGAGCTATCAGTACAGTCACAGCCTTTCTGACTTAGTAGAGTTGATCTATGGAAGTCATATGTCAGAGTTATTTTCTTTCACCAGATTCTCTGGTCTTGCCGCTTTTGTTTTTCCACTGGTCATTAAACTGCAAAGAAATGATTTCATACCTTGATTCAACACATAAAAGCTGAGACATTGAATAATAGTGGAAAATAATGCATTTCTATATTCAGTATAACCATACAAACTTAATTAAACTCAGGTAATTAAACTCAGAAAAATAGATTGAAGGTAAAAAAGATGAAAATGAATTAGAACTGCATCAAATCAACATTCCTTCCTTTTCCGTTCCTTTTTTTCCTAAAACCAGGTCTGTTTGTCTGTTTTAGGCGTACTGTGCCCTATGGTATGTCCAGCTATAGAGGATCACAGAGACCCAGACGTGCTGTAGGAGGAGGATTGACCAAACATGATGGGCCAAAGACACGCTGCATTTGTGCTGTGGCTGATTCAGACCTTGAATGCCACAACTTTTGCCTGTCAATGTAAGCCATAATCACTGTGTAGAATACTGACCCCCCCCCCACCTTCATATAATCCCAGGGAGTTAAGTAATATAAAAGAAGATGAGTTTGACTACCGGGAAAAAATATTTGTGCATTATTTTGCACTTTTAGTATTGTGGAAAGTTTAACACGTTAATAATTATACGATGTCTTCTAGGCTATTCATAAAAAATTTAAACAACAGGATTCTTTTAGTACAAAAGACAATAAGCAATGCAGTTTTTCTGTTATAGCTGTGCTATAATTAGTACTCTGAAGATTGAATTAACTCTAACAAATGCATTTTTTTTTAAATATTAGTTTATTTAAAAAAATGTTCCAAGCAAATAAAAGGACTAATTCTAGTCTAGAATATCTAGAAATCTTTTAAGTGTCAAAATGTTACGTTTCATATCTAATGTGAATTATTTTCTCTGAAGCCCCAATCAGACTCGGTCAACCAAGAGTCTCCACAGAGTCCCTGGCCCTGGATGACGGTTTCTAACCCCACCATCTGCTGCTCTTGTCCTTGAGTGAATGGACCGTTCCCTCCTCTTCGGCTCCTTCCCTTTTGCGATCCGTATGGCATCCTGCCTCCCAGGTATACACAGTCAAGGGAAGAACTTCGAAGCTGAACACTGCCAACATTCCTCAACATCAAAACTTTTGAAGCAAGTTCCATCAGGCCAAGTGGTTTCAGGAACTCTTCTGCAAATTTGATGCAGATCTCTGGAGGCTATTCCCTTTTTGTTCCCCCCAGAGAGCAGAACAGGGATTACTTTCACCATCATATCAAGATAATAGCCTATGATGTGGCTTATGTCAAGCTTAATCAAACCGGCCCTTTAGTTTCATACTTAGTGTTGTGGACTACACTTAATTTAATCTTTTAAAGCAATGAGGCAAATTTACGCTTATACCCAAGGGACAAGACAGTTCCACTAAAGTGCCGGCAAGGAGTAAGTGCCTTGGGGAAACATGGAAAGTAGGAGAAGGACTAAATATTGGGACTTTAAAAAGGCTAAAAAGTGCAACATAAAAGGAAGGTTAATTTTTGGGCATATATCTTTTTTGGAGATGACACTTATTGACCTTTTTCAATTGATCATTTAAAATCATTGACTGTTCTCTCAGCATAATCACAGAAATTGCTGTTTTTTTCTGCAAAATTCTTCATTTCGGTGTAAATTTACCATTGACCAACTCTAACCTTGTCTGAGTCTTTGTGTATGGTCTGAGTAAGCACAACATTTGGCTTTAATTGATATTTTTCAGCTGTAGATTTCTTATAGATTAATGAGTGAAACTGTTGCTTTACTACATTTTTTCTTACTGACAATGAGATCAAAAGATTACGTAAAATTAAAGTTTAAAAAGATTTGCGGACGTTTTTTTTGCCCACATGCCAACTTGTAAAAAAGTCACATCATTGCTTTGAGTAAGTAAGACGCAAGTAAAATACGAATTTTATTGAATGATATTGGTCTTCTCATCAGTACTCACATTTGCTCACATGCACACACCAAATGTTAATCTACAACTGTAAAAGGGAAAAAAACATACAAACATATTTAGGCCTAATTTAAGTGCCATGAGTTAGAGATATTATTTTTTTCCCTAAAGGATTATAAAAGTATTTAGCTTTTGTCATATCTTATGCCAGAGGAAGAATCAATATTGGATTAAAAAAATAAATAAATAAAGCACCCAACAACTTCAAAACCAACTGTAATTTAGTCATATTAAATTAATAAGCACCTAACAGGATAAGATAGGTAGTGTTCCACCTTTGTCAAACAATTTGGTTCCTGGCCTCTGGAACTTTTTGCACCATGAAGAGCTTTCATAACAGATCTGGTTACCAATAAACTATACTGTCGAATTATATTATGTAGTTGAATGTAAACAAACTAACATGTTGCTTTTGTATTTTTTGTTGTTGTTCGTTTTTATCCCATGTTGCAAACAAATTAATCTATTTTGTTCTTATTTGTATTATAGGCTCTTTTATATGAACAGCTTTTTTGTCACCCAAAGCTCCGTTTATATTTGTTTCTTGAATACATTTTGATCAGTTACTCAACTTTACAATATCTAGAAGGCAAAACAACAGATCAAATTAACTATTGTTTGTTAGTTCAAATGACGCTGATGATAATTTATTTCTTTTGTATATAAATGATGTGTATTAATCCCAAATGCTGTGTCTAAAAGTTTTCATATCTGATATTCAGTGCATGCCTCCATTTTCATCCACTCATCCTTGTGCTGACCTCTATATCTTTTTTTTTATTGTTGTTTTTTTGGAAAGATTGTTCCTATCCATTGCCAAGTGTTTCCCCAGGATTGCTAGGATTCTCTATAGACTTACGCATTGTTATTCCAAGATTTAACAAAGCTTTGAAGGATATCTACTACCACCTCAGTCACAGACACTCAAATTGATACTGAAAGAAGTTACTTTGTGCTTTAGAGAGGCACACATGAGCATGCCTATCCTTTTAGCTTTACTAAAATTATCGGTTGACTTTTAATTAAAGTGGTGAGAAGTCCTTTACCTGCAGAATCACCATCCCTACCATCATGATGGAAATGTGATGCCTTGTTGCAGGATAGTTGTCAGGGAGCCTAACAAAAGATGAAAACTTGGCATTTGTGAAGCATGGGATATTCCAAGAAATCAAAGCCAAAGTGGTCAAGCAGTGTCTGATTTAGAACAAAATCAGCATTTAAGGGTGGCTCGGCCAACAGCCCAGGAACTGATCCCATGCAGGTTTGTTGAGGTAACAAAAGACCAAAGGCATGGCAAGGAAGGCAAAAATGCCTTCCAACTTCAAAGACCTCAAGATCATCTGAAGATATTTAGTGGATGATGATGAAAAGGAGTGATCCAAAACATCACGGGAGACAGGCAGTACTAAAAACATTTGATACCTTAAAAGAGTCAGAGGAAGCGAAAAATTGCCTTGCCACCAATTACGTAGAGGTGGTCAGACATTTAGGCAATATGGGATAAAGTATATGACTAAAATAATAAATATTGATCATTACAAAGCCTTTGAGGAAGATGGATAGAGCCTTAACAATAAAGAATGTGTTTTTTTTCAGAAAAATCTGTAAATTGTGAATGTAACTGAATGTAATCAGAATCCTATCACATATACATATTTCATATAATTATGGGAAAAAATGTACAAGAGAAGTGTCAGTATTATTGTTACATGTTATGTAGCTATGTCAACTAACATCGATTGTTCACTTTCTTGAAGCAACCAGAAACACATCTACAGTTAAGAATAAGATTTATCTTTCGGCCAACAGTTGTAACATTATCACTATTTCTTATGTATACCTGTATATACATTCATGATTCCTATATTTATATATCTTAACGTCTAAACAAATGTAACAAGATTATATTAATGGAGGAGATATGAGGTTATAAGACAGTACTTAATATGTTTTGTTTAGAAAAACTTAAAATTGATCCCTTATATTTACTGTCTAGAATGGTACTAATCTTTCCTGTGAGTTACCTGTAAATTGCAATATTTTAATTGCATTTTTATCGCTTGTTACTGGAGGCAATCATGTTACCACTTTATTGTAATTTGAAGGTATTACATTTTCATCAGCTTTTTTTATTCAGGTCACCACAAAGTCAGTCTAGCTCTCTGTGGTAGGTTTTGTCACTTTGTTCTAAGCAAAGATGACATAAAAAAATATATATATATTAATTTATATTTGTAAATTAATATATATGTATGTGTACCTCCAAGTCCCAACCATCAGGTGAAAAAAGTACAAATACAACATGCAGAAATAGTGTGTGAATAGTTACTTGTGAGTAAAATTCTGCCACATCACAGTCCGGCACAGCTGGACTGCCTGAGGTCTAACGGTCTGTCAGGCATGTACGAGGTCAGCAGCAGTGCTTCAAGTCTAACTTCCCCTGAACTGCTTCCTTAGGGTCATCTCCTGTGTGATGAGTTGAAAGTGAACTCACCAGACCAGCATACCATCTCATTGTGAGCTTTGCGCTGCCACCATAGACAGTCTTAAGCCTCCCAAAGCTACACTTAATGTTATTACACATGTAATCTCTCTGAGTTGGTCCATTGCACAATATCTCATAAAACTTAATTATTGTCTTGAAGAAGAACACTTAAATGACTACACATACTAGCAACAGGACATTCTGCATATTTGCTACAGGTGCAGAACAAACAATGCAAATGCCAGGTTCTGTCAAACTTGTGTAAAAGCATGCAACAGAAATCCAGCGATCTGAAAGAGCTGATCGCGCTGATTTTCCTGCTTTTACATGTTACTTTTTCTTGTTATCTTCAAGGGAAGTCCCTTTATCTAGATAATGAGCTCATTTTCGTGTAATCTGTGTGAGGCAGTATATATTTTTCGTGATCATGAGCTTATTGTAATTAATTTGATAAAATGTCTGTTTGTTTTCTCAAGATAAAGATAAAAAATGTCCATGATGACAAAGCAGCTTTGTTATTCTGAGCTTGTGCAATATTTTCCTGAGATAAAAAAGAAAAAAAAATTGCAACCATGTCCACTTTTTCTTTGGGGGGGAGGGGGTGTATGCAAACTATGTATTGTCTTATTATTTGCTTGTTGTCATTAAAAAACCTTATACCTTTATAAACAAAACGTGAGATGAACTCGATCTTTGAAACCTTAATACCACTTATCATCCTGGAATGTCACACTAAGTCCAGCCCAAATAAGCTTACCCTGGAGCCTCAGAGTAAACCCTCCACAGTCGGTAAGGCCCATTTCCCACAGTACACCCTGGGAAATACTTCTGCACAGACATCCTGACCATTTCACGGCAGGTTCAGGGCCCTTACTGTGGCTTAAACTTAGGTGAATGAATAGTTGCCTCTTGTCATGCAGTAAAACTTCTGTTAGAGACTTTTAAGGGAAGGTCATATCGTGCAAATATAATGTATCGCATGCTTTGGATTTGGTGTAAATAAATGGTATACATTTAATCATTCTGCTGTATTAAATGTTTTAAAGCTCCAACCAATAGTAAAAATGAATTAATCATTCAGTTGATGTATTGATAATGTTCATTTTAAAAAAAGTTCATTATTTTCATGGCTTGACTTGTTTTTGCCCGTTAGAGAGTTTTTGAAACACCCAGTGATTTTGCTACTTTTTATTTGGAAGTGAAAGACTACGCAATTTTGCAACAATGTGGGATGTTTTATTGAAAATGTCTAGTCTGTAATAAATACTTCATTTATCCACTCATTCTCCACACTTAGATTTTGATAAACTAAAAGTGGACACACGTTGAAGGCAGCCTCAAAGAGATTGGACCTGTTCAGTCAACGAGCAGACCCGTGGTGATAAACAGAAATGATTTACGACACACAGGCCAGTGGAATGACGCGTGATGCGAAAGATTTAAGAAGCTTGCTGGGTTGCTTTAGTTTCAAATTTTTTATGACATCTTTTGAGTGGCATATTTCAAGTATCCCTCTGCAGGGTTTAGCCTCAAAATCCAGCCAGTGACAGACATTAAATCATCCCACTGAACTGCTCCAGAGTTACTCAGATTATACTCAAATATGACTTTGAACATACATATGGAATACGAGCGTACATATGGAATACGTTTTCAGCAACGGAGCAGAATTGGTTGACGTATCTATGTTATCTATGAATCAATGTTCTCAATGAGACAGTTTGAAATCAGCACAAAGTCTTTCTGAGGACCATTTGAAAATCTTGAAGAAGAGTTTTTTCGGGCAAAGCAGGACAGGAATAGAGTTATTCTTCATTTATCTACTTGAACTGCATACTAAAAATGATCGTAAGATAGTACAGATAGTTATATTTATGAATGATGATATAGATAGTAATATTTACAAAGAAATAAAGAAATAAATGCATGCATGCATATAGACATACACAAACTCTGAGTCAACAAGGTTAAAATTCTCTCATTCTCATTCTGTTTTAAAACAAAGTTACCTCAACGGCACATAAATGGTTTGCATACTCAGTCAAAGCAAGCAGTGATGATGTGCCAGCTTCTATTTAAACAGTCATGACTTGAGAGTCAGACATCTCTGTTTTTACTCCTGTTCAATAGGTGAAGGCTGTTCTGTATACCATATTCAATTTCTCTACTTAATTAAAGAAAACATTGAGTCTTGATAGTATATGCTCAAAGGGTAATTTTCTTTCTTGTTGCTAGGCAAAATAAAGCAAACATGCACGTTGCAGGACTTGAAAGGCCTTCAAAACAAAGTTTTAACTTAAATCTTTGAGATTGTTCATTATGGGGACGAACATTGCCAAGGGCAGTTATTGTATGCTGTTCATTTCCTGTAGGAATAGCGAAATCAAATTAAAGTTGGGATGTACTACCAATCTAAATGTTTTATCTTGATAGTCACAACAAGTGAAGCCAACATAACCTGAGTGGCTCAGGACGAAAACTGCAATTTCCAAATTTACCATCAGTTTTTTTCCTATTAAACATGGTCATTTTACTTGCACAAGTATATTGCAAGCTGCCAAAGCCAAATAAATGTACCATGTGGTGAAAAAAGGATGCAAGGGTGTTGTGAATGAGTTATATATGGAGCATTTTAAAACTCATATATCTTATTTCTTAAATCAAGAATTGAAACTGCAAACTGAGTCCTTGCAGCATGTCACTGAAAAGTAATCATTTTCATTTTACTTAATTGAAAAGAATTGCGCAGGGCAAAAAAATAGTCTTCCCAGGTATCTGGAATAATATTTCACCTCAACTAAGGGACCAAAAAACAAGCACACACTGGATTCATCCAAGTGTGGAATGTGAAAATGGCTCTGGTTTGAATTGTTCACACTTCATGACCTCATGATTAAGTTTTCATTTTATTAGTATTACAACAAGTTAAGTAAGTGTTTTGGGGAGTTTTCAGAGATTAGGCTCCCAGCACGTTATCCTCTTTTTATGTATATGTAAAAAGATGCTGCTGCCAATTAACCTTTAACATTTCATTTCTATGCTAACACAAACAACAACAATTATTAAATTTGATAATAATTAAAACATTAGTACATGATCTATAAAAGAAGACACTAAAGCAGGTAAATAACCAACAATGTAATGCTGAAAATTACATACACAACATCAACTCAATGACAAGTTTGTCCATGTGACTGATGAACCATCAAATCAAAGATTAGATCTTTGGGAGAAAATACATGTTTGTTTTTGGTAGGTAATGTCTGTAAGATTGTAATTCCTCAGTGTAACCCTGTTCATTACTCCATTTTGCTGGGGGCTGTTTTTCCTTAAGAGATACTTTTGTTAGGTTTCCACTCTGTAAAGCATATAAAGCCATGGCCTCCAGTACACCTCTAGGCTGCATAAAACTGTTAGGAGAAACAGAAGGATGACATGTTGTCTGTGTTAACTACATCAGTTCTCCAATATTAACCCCAAATACGTTGTCTGAATTGAGCTTGACTGAAGGGTTTGTCGTTTTGTGGCAAACAAGTGCAGTGCTCCTTTGGGAACTGCCAAATTTGAACTGAGCAGAGCCAGTCAGTCCTACTGAAGCACATCATCTGTATTTGCCTGCTGAAACATGTCAGAAATATCTCTCGGAACTTAAATAACAGCTGATTTATTTTGAACATTTAGCGTTAAAAACTAACTTTTTCAAATACTTCTCTCTTTTAATCCACAGCGGTTTCAAAAGCTGTCAGCCTGTGGTTGATGATAAGGCTGTCAGCCTTATCATTTTTCAAATATGTGAAGCTGGAAAATATTTTTGGACGAAAACAGGTTGCATTGAAAACAATAACTGCTGTAAACAGACTTGAATTGTTGGTCACCACTTCAAATCATACAATTTCTGGGGCAATTTACTCCTAAAGGCCAAGAATACTGAATATAAAAAAAACATGTTCTCTGAAGATGTCTTGCAGAAACTTCACTGCGTCTCAAAATGAAAAAATGAATCAGGGGAGTACATTTAGGGAAATTAAACTAAGTCCTAACTTTAACCTAACTGGGTCTAGATCTGTGATTTCCATTAGCCATCTTTAATAAATGTATTACTTTAAATAGGTTGTTACACCTTTGTCACTGTGGGGTCTTATGGGTTAAGTGCAAACATGTTTTTTTAGAAACAGTTGAACAGTTAACTGCACTTTTAAAATCAGGTTACTTTGAATAATGATTTCGCTCATTTACCCAAATAAAGGACTCTTTCAGAGCTTTATTTGATGATATATCCAGAGGGAATTAAAGTTCTTAACAGTATAACTGTGCATGCCGTAACACGACACCTCCTGAAGCTTAAGCTTATGCATGATGATTCATGAAAGGGTTGAATAATATTGAGATGTGATTAATGTTCCTCTTCAACAGCTCTATCTCCCCAGTGATCAGTTATGTTCCATTTCACCTCAGCAGGACATTCACAATTTTGAAGAAATGACAGAAGATGAGCTTCATTATCATTCCATTGTGGTGAAGTTTTGTACAGGGCTGTGGAAGAATGCTAAGTTATTATGGAGAAAGGGGAAAAAGTTTTCCTCCTCTTCCTCTCCCTGGAATGGAAGCCAGAGGTGGTGAGTAGGTTGCAGGCCTGGAGTTCTTATGTGAGTGACAGTGGTGGGATAGTGTGGTTATGTGCAATACACCATGCCACAGAGCAGTTAAATGGGCAATACTGATGTTAATGTAAGATGAAACATAATTCAAAACTTTGAAAAAAATAGAAAGAAAAATGTATGCACAAATATGTCTGTGGGGGATTGTAGAAAAATGCCATTAAAATCTCTCTGAATTCAGGTGTGAGTACAACCTTCATGTTCACTTACCTTATGGTTTTTGTCAGCCGCATCTTAGTCGGTATTTTGTAACAAGTTTGTTTGGTGTGGAAAAAATGTAACCATTTACGGATTTCAGCTCACAATCTATTTTCAATACTAACCACATGTTGGAAAACGTATCTAGTAGATAAGTACCAAAACCGCACCAAAAATGTGTCACTCCAGTTTTACCGCTATCAAACATTTTGATATGAGATCTGCCTGCCTCTTTGGAGCTGCACTGAAGTGCTGGTGATTTGTTTATTGGTTTGGACTCCATCATTTCTTTTCGGGCACACAGAGAATTAGCATAGCACTGAAAAAGAAGACATGATGCATTTGGAAACAATAGCAGACATGCTTGGAGTCATCTCATATCTTTCAAAATGGCTACCTGTTCAGGGTGAGCTTGCATGTTAGGAGAACAGTGAAAGATGCTCTGACTTTGAAGCCTGCTGCTAATTGGATTCAGGCAAGAAACCTGGCTGCCTCTTGAATCCACCCCCCCCCCCTCCCCCCGCCCTTCTTACATTTCTGTCTTTTACAATTTTTGGTCAGCTTATAACTTTCATCCTATCTCTCCAAACCGAAATGCCACGCCTGACTATTGCCTTACTGTTTTTCACACTCCATCTTAAACTGCTGTCAAGGTCCCATAACAATGCATAGGTTTTTTGTTTTTGTACCCTATCGCAATTTTTACCATTTTAATAAAATGTTCTTAGAACACATTGCAATATTTACAGTATTAATAGAGCAGATGATTAGGAAGTTTGTTTTGATTAAGGTGAACTAGACTGTAAATATCCTGAATCTGACTAAAGTATTGGTTCCCTTTTGGAAAAACATTCACAAACAAAGCTTTGATTGTGATAAGCTTCCTTCAACTCAGACGGGTTCCAGTGTCCTGCCGGGAAGGGATGATTGCTCCATCAGCCCCACCCAAGCAGTTTACAACCTGGGCATAATTTTGACCCCACCCTCTCATTCCAGATCCATGTTAAAAACATTGTCAAAACCACCACCTAGTAAACATCTCTAGACCCCGGCCCTCGCTCTCGGAGATTCTAAGGCCGCATAGCATAATCACTCCCATCCTCAAGCTGCTTCGCTGGCTACCAGTCAAATCTTGCACTTCTCC